ACCTAGAGAGGGGGGGGGGGGGGTAAGGGAAAGGATCCTGGCGAAATTTGAGAAGACATACAAGTAATTTTATTCAAGGTTGATTTTCGGGTAAATAAAAGAAAAATTACCTCCAGCTCCATACGAAGGGCCTCGTCAAATCCGACAGCAGCGAATTTCGAGGCGCAATAATCAACGAGTTTTGGGATACCAACATGACCCGCCAAACTGGCTATGCTAACGATATGCCCTTTATTGTCTCTCATCATGTCTGGTAGGAAAGCTTTAACAGTCTGAAATCATCAGAAAAATCCACGTATTATTCAAATTGCTCTCCAAATTTCTCACAGAATTCACAATTTATTTTATTTGTCGTCTCTATCTCGTCTGTTCTCCTCGTTTCTCCAAAGGATTTTATTTTACAAGCAAATGTTTTCTTTTCAATTTTACGAGCGGTGATCTTGCCCAATCATTACAACCATAATTAATTTATCTGTTTGTCTGTATTTGGAGGGTCTCGGTCGTGATGCAATATTTGTAAAATAAGTTCGAAACCATAGGCAAGCATCAGTGGTGCACTTGTAATGCTTCTACATATCTCTCACGCACGACCGGTTTACGGCACCTGACCAACGCCAACCTCTCCTATATACTCAACAGTGTAAAACGAGATAGTGCGCCTCTCACCGCAAATTCCCAAGTCGGACACTAGTGGTCCTTGAATTCTTTCCAGACCAGAGGTGTGTTCAGTAAATGAGGGGAATTGGAGTGATGACCCAGGTCTCATTTTCAAATTCATCACAGTATGAAATATAACTCACCCAAAAGTGACTCATAACATTAACTTCCATCGTCATTGTGATAAGTTCGTCCGGAGTATCGAGAAATTTTCTGCCAATGGCCACTCCAGCATTATTAATAAGTATTGATACCTAAAAAAACAGAAAATTTTCAATAAAACAGCAGATCATCAAGTCGATGAAATCAATGAAATGGTGACTTGTAAAGAACGATAATGAATAAGTAATGGAAGATTTGTTTAGAAAATTATTTAATCGTATGATCATAAATGCTCGGGGCACGAGTATCAGAAGTATTGAGGTCTCTTGTATTAACGACGTATTGCAACGTGTCATGGCGCAACTTCGACAACTTTCGTAATGGTCCTCCTGTATAACGTCACTCTTGCGACTAGAGTCTATCCTTAACATTACCTCTATTTGCCTATTCTTATTGTCATGATTTGCTCCTCAACTTCGACTGCACTATTTTTATTAATTTCCTATTTTTTAATCTTAGCGTACCTTTCCAACTTCTTCTTTCAGTACTGCAGCCTTCTTGTAGACATCTTCTTTATTCCGAAGGTTACAGATATAACCGTAACAGGTGCCTCCAGCTGACTGCACTAACTTCACCGTCTCCTCGATTCCTGAAAAGGAAATCAAAATCAAATATACAGCAAAATGGAATTATTATTTACTCTTCTGCAGTGTCCCATTCTCATTTGTGATTTTAGCATTTACAGTAAAGACTGATTAAATGGGACGTCACGGCTTGAATGATACACGCGATAATAAAGCAGGGTAATGAGAAACATCACGAGGTGTGCGTTTCTCGAGTAAAAAACAATTTACGTTTCTGCAATTATATGAAAGACGAATTATCGCTCATTTTTATTACTCTATGTTGAAGTTCCTTTCAGTGAAGAATAATGAACATCTGTTTATTGTTTTGTTATGTAAACTTGATGAATTGCTTAAGGATATCCAAGTACTTCATTCAAGTTAGCAACTTTTTTTCAAACCACACTTCAGTTGCCTAAAATTTTGCCATTCCCATACTTTTTCGGATTTTCCATTGCTGAATAAATTTTTCTGGGAATTTCTTCAATAAATATTGGGAACAATATTTTATTCCATTTCCCACTTGACTCTCCTCGTTCGAGCGACGAGAAAACGATTTAGGGGAAATGCGATCACAAAGGATATTTCTTGAGATCAGGATCGGGGGTACGAATTCCACGAATTTAACCCTAGATTGGTCACCCTATGAGGGTCCGTACGCAAAAAAATATATGTAGACATATATGTGACATATATCCTACTCATAGCGCATATATTTCGGCCAAAAATTCTGTATGTAGTATATATGTCATACATCCAAAAATATATTCTGAAATATGTGTAAAATATAAGTCATTTATAAGTGGCCTAGATGTAAAATATATTCCACATATATCGCATAAATATTCGACTATATACTACTTATATATGCAGTGGAAATATATGCGAGATATATGTTGTTATATACGTTTTCAATATCCATAACATATAATCTCCATATAATCTCCATATAATCTCCATATATAAAATATATGTAACATATATGCCACATGCATGCCTAGGTGTCCCACTGCTGAATGTCCATACTGTGAGAGTGGTTTAGGGGTGTTATTACGACTCTTAAAGGTCACACAGGAGGATGATCTTAAGGGACTAAAGGATCCAGGTCTCGAGGGTCAGATGAGAGAGGTAGGTGTGGTAATTAGAATACGGGGAAAAAAAGTTTCTGATCTCACTTCCATAGCCCGCGACTTTTAAAACTCATAGTAGTCTCTCCTTAAAGGCAGATATCTCAAAAACGGATTCAGATTCAGCACCCTCAAAAATAAAATACAATAGACCTCGTAATGCAGAGAATACTTGGGCTATTGTGTGGACTATAATAATAGACATCATCTTGGATTTTTTCAACTTTTGATTTTTTAAATATAAATGTCGTTGACTCGGTGAAAATAACGAACGTTAAGCAAGTGAAATGTGACTGAACTGACCAACTTCAAGGCTAACAATCATAAAATACTACCGTACGTGTAGTGAAAACATAACGTACCTGGTAGGTCACTCAAATTACAATTTCGAAATCGAGGATGATAGAAGAAGAATAAAAAAACTATAGCACATCATGCGGAAGAATGATATGAAATGTATGACGAGTTTTAGGGATTCTAGCAAATCGGGAAAATATTTTGTAAAATTGAAAGCTGCAAAATTACGCGACGGCGCGCCCTTTTCGGCTTTACGCCAGCGCAACCGTAATAGATGGAATAGAAAATCTATAGAACTTGATTTGTTTCCGCCAACGCCGAAAAGTTCATTTTAGCTGTAAAATGCATGTTTTAGATTTGAGGAAAAGTAGCCGTTGCGCGGACCCCTCCCCCCGTTCTTGCACGGGGAGAAATTTTTGATAAAATTTACCCTACCGGTCTATAAAAATGTATCATGAGTCATCGTTTCCTCATTTCTATCCTGAAATCCTATCGTAAGAAGGAGAAAAGAAATCGATCTCGAAATATCTCGAAAATCTCGAATAAGCGTAAGCGGGAGGCTAAAACCGAAGCGCCACTACGTGAGGAGATGAGAAGGCGCGTGCGTGGCACGCGTGGCCGATCTCGTTTAGTAAAAATTAATATATGATGATCAAATTTTATTCTACGTTAGAGAAATTTTATCCTGATGCATAATAAATTTTACCCTTCCAGTCCAATAATTTTTATGGAGATAACGAAATTCTAGAACGTTTGGTAAATTTTATGCCACCGGTACAGTAATTTTTACTCTACCGGCACAGTAATTTTTATTTTTATCAGGATAAAATTTCTCTAACGTAGAATACAATTTGATCATCATATATTAATTTCTACTAAATTTCTGGATAGAAATGAGGAAACGATGACACATGATACACTTTTATAGAACGGTAGGATAATTTTTATCAAAAATTTCTCGCCGTGTACAGAAGTTTGAACGAAAAATTCCCATTGAATTTGTGCGACATTAGATGGTCTACAATAATGGTTTTTATACTTTTTTTCATACCTTTAATATCTATTGAGAAATTACCAATGAAAATCGTTGCGCAAGTTCCATGTAGGTTGGGGAAGTTGAGCGTGTAAAGTGAGACTCGCGCGACAAGTATTTTCCTTCAATTCTATATAATTTATAATTCAGTAAGTATTGAGAATGTGAAATAATATCAAAATATGAACAGAATATTTAAAAAACCAAAGAATTTTTCCACATCGAAAAAATAGTAAAACTCGTAAACTATTCCTTTTATTAGCAAAAAATCTACGTTAACAAGTGTGACGATTAATTCGAGAAAAATCAGGATTGATCTGAATGACTCATGTTTGAGATGAAGCTACACAGTGTGATAAAAAATTTTCCATTTCCATTGTGCATTGAAAAAACAGCAATTTTTTCAGTTTTTCAACACATAATTCCGTGAATATGTAAATTGTAAGGAAAAGTCAGAAGAGGAAAACGAAGAGAAGAGAACGAGAAAAAATCACCAATTGTTTTCATTCCAATCAGATAACTAAATTAAAAGTTCTGTTTCAGCAAATTTTGGTTGAAAAATGAAAAGAAAAGAAATGAGGACCCATAAAGAGTAAACAAATAACTAATATTTTATGGAGGTTCAAAATGCATCTTCATTTTTCATATTTTTTAATACAATTTTAATACATCTTTTGCATTTTGGAATTATAATAGACTTTTCGGCGTCGGCAGGGAATCAGTTTTTGCATGATCTAACTTTGGCCGCACTCGACGGTTTAACGGTTAGAATTAGTAAATTGCCGCTAGTGACTTATTTGTAGGAAATTAAATTCTCTACAAATTAAGTCCTATGAAATTTCCATTCCATCTGTTACAGTTTCGCCAGCGTAGAGCTAAAAAGGTCGCGCAGACGCTCAATTTAGCAGTTTTTAATTTTTTCAACAATTTCCCGATGCGCTAGAATCCCAAAAACTTAAGGGGAGACTTTTTGTGCCATTTTTCATTTAAAAAATAACGAAATTAGCTGTGTAGGAGTTGCATTTTAAAAAACTAATTCATAATTGTTATTGCACACCTTTTTTCAAAAATTTTGAAAAAAAAAATTTTTGTAGCTCAAAATGTGGAGGACCTGGACTATTTTTAACATTTTAAGCGATTGCAGGGTAAACGAACAATAAACAATTTTTTTCGCACTAATTATTCGTTTTTAAACATCTATAACCTATCTTCAATGTATGAAAAATATCATTCCAATAGCCCGCGACTTTTAAACCTTATAGTAGTCTCCCCTTAATATGTTTTATACTATTTTTCCGAACGATATGCCACAGTTTTCTTTCCTTCTATTAACCGTGATTATACATACTAATTCTGGGCAGACATTGATGATTCATCGAGATGTGTTCAGCGTCATAATCTAGTTGAGTAAGAATTTTTTCATGAAAATTAATATACACACGTCGCCATGGAAAACATATCACCCTCCCTCACGTGCTTGCCATCCTCGCCTTCGGCTCGGAAGGCAATCTTGCACGTGGGGGACGGTGATCTGTTTTCCAAGGCTCGGGCATCATCTATGCGAAGCCACCTTTATCATTAATTGAGTCAAACGGATCTACGTTTCACTTAGGTACAACGTTTTTGCACTGAGAGGCTAATGAAGAATCCAAATCGAAAAAAAACAGTTCGATATAAAAAAAAGTTCATTTATTCATATTTTCTGTAGCATTTCGTTCATTTAAACTCTACAGAAGGAATTTTTCACCGATTTAGACACACTAGGATTTTCTTACACAACCTAAAGCACGAGGTTTAACGTTTAGAATCGCGCAACACGTGAAAAATGCACATACCCGCGAGTTGTTGAATGATGGAGTTAACATTGTATATCCCCGACAATAAACACGACGAGTGGAAGGAAAAAAACTTACGTGAAACCAAAATATTTTTGGTACATTATGTGATTTTATTTATATCCATGGATGTCAACAGTGGGGATTACGTTCATAAGTGATATTGGACGAGTCATTGTAGACGATTAATCTCATTTAGGGTTATCATTTACACTTTGCTCTGGACTCGTTATTCTTGAGTGATATGCAGATCTCCCGCACGGGAATTCATTTTTAGTATTGACACTTTCGTACATCTTTCATCCTCAGTGGAATTTTTCATTTAAGTAATTTTAACTGTAGAGAAATTTCTTTAACGATTTATACGATGAACAACTGCTACAACGTACTTACTCCGAGTGCAATCGAAATTATTATTCAATTAGTCACTATCCAATTATCATAATTTTCGGAAAATAGTTTTTTCCCTTTTTTTATTCTCAATATGTAATTGAGTCAATAAATTTTTTAATACACAGTAACGGCTTTCGCCGAACTGAGGCATTCAAAAAGATTGAGCCCATAATGGCGATTTTAGCGAAATTTTCATATGAATTTTGTAATTTCCAAAAGTTATAATGAATTTTCATCGAAAGGCATATTTGCAGTGTCACCATACCCGATTGACCTTATTAAATGTGATTATCAGGTGTTATTTATGTAAATCCTACATTACATTTTGAAATAATTGAATTTTAATGACCCCTTAATGATCTTCTCATTTCAAATAATATCGAAACTTTTTAGCTCTTTGGAGGCTAATTGAGAAAATGTGTCTTATGACATCGAAAAGAGGTCATACCATAAAAAATTGATTAATTACAGTATTTTTAATGACCATTGCACTCCTCGAAACAATGGGGATTACGCGAAAGCAAAAGGTGGAGACAATAAAAATTTCGAATGAATTTCTGATCACGTACTCAAGAAATCCTTCGAACGATCATCACCAATGCCCCTCTTTCTTTTAATGATACAAAGACAAATAGACCCTGACGTGGGTCAGAAATAAGCAATTGTATTCAAGTTTATACTAAGATTTCAAAATTATAAAAGGCCAGTTTTTTTTTTTAATTTCAGGAGTAATTATTTGAAATTCTGCATGAAACTATCGTATTGTTAGATGTGAAAATTAAATGAAGAATATGAGGTAGGAATGTACCTTTTCAATTTCATCGCTAAAATCCTTGCGTTCCAAAATGTATTTTTAAATTTGTCCAATAAGATGAAATGGACGTACTTATTCACCCAAAGAGCAAATCAAGTTTTTTTGTTGTGATTTCTAGACAAATTATGCAAGGCACTTTCGATTTCGGGTTTCTTCTGGAGACATTGAACTGTGAAATCCAACTTTTTTGATAACCTGGTACGAAATCTCATATATAGTTGTTACTCATTCGTTCAGCATAATTTTATCATCATTACTGACTATTCAATGATACCAAGATTAGCAACACTGAAAAATAAGATAAACTTTCATTAGAAGTCTATCCTTTTTCGCGTTCGAGTTAGCCATGCATATCCGGCGTCATTGAGTCACGGTCAGGCTACTTCAGTAGTTACATAAAGCCGGCTACGCTATTGAACATTCCTGTTGCTGGTCCAAACAAATGTTTCTTCAACATTAATGATGTTAGCAACAACAGGTTGGTTCTAACAGGGTTAGAAGTATAAAATTTGACTGCTCATACTTTATTTCTATTCATCATTAACATAAAACCGAATAAAATATTGGATTACATTTGCAGACTAATTATTTCTTTAAACACTGGTTACGCCCAAGAAACGCTTATTTATTTTCCGCGAATAAATAGCCGACCGATCATGCAATTTTTACCCAAGTTATCACATCTCTTGAAAAAGATTGACAACTGAGATTGAAATAGAAATAGAAATTAATTGATCATCCTCCTGGAGTATCATTCCGCAATAAGAAAAGAGAATTATCAAGAAATATTGCAGCCAATCAAAGGCATGGATGTCCTATTGTAAGCAATAGTAAAATCCGTTGATTTGTTATTGCAGGAATATTTTGAAACATTCTGCAATAAATTTGTGGAAATTATTAGATATTATTAGACATCGGCAACGCCTTTCAGTCGCTTCATTACGTGCGACAAGCTTTGTGGGCCGTAATCATTAATTTGTTTTTTTTTGCAACCGGGGATTCACATTGATTTATCCAACAAATGAGACCTCTAAATCATTTTCATTTTTTTGATGAACAAAAAAACGTTCTAAATCCGTAAACTCCTGTAATGGAAACCATCCTTCAATAATACAAATATCACTCGTTTGATCTAGAAAATTATTCTCTTCAACTCTTCAAAGCATTTTCCTCGACTATTGGAAATTTGAGCATGTTATTGTTTACGTATTAATCTGAAACGTTGTCACCTTGAGAGGGATATTATCAAAACAGAATTCAATGAGATGATAAATGTAAACTCGTCGAAGGTAGCTTTCAAGGTTTGTTCAAAAGTAAACAGCTCCGAATTCGAAACGGATATTTAATTACAGCGATTTCGTCAACGCATTTTCATACTTTTCACTCAAAATTCAAGGTTCACTATTCTGGCGGTGTCCTAATATATTATCACATTTCTATAATAAAAACAAGAGAATAATGACGAAATATACATACCAGCCTCATTGATGTCCCAAACAACGACGATCGCGCCCAGGTTCGCGAGCCTCAGTGACAGAAGCCTTCCAAGTCCTCCACCTCCACCCGTTACAAGGGCTATTTCACCCGCGACACTTTTCATCTTGTACTTATTCGGTATAAATGATTTGAGGATTGCTTTAATTATTGTTACCGCCGAAAGCAGAAGAAACCCGATCACGTCACTCGTTGAACGTAGCCAAGACATTTTGATTATTTTGTCAATAAATAATAAGAATCATGTAGAATAAAATCACAGCGTAAATTCAATTGAATTTTTGTCTAGATAACGATAGTCATCAGTGGAACAATTCAAGTGCACACATGTCGAATTACTTTTGAAATGCAAGTTTGTGGCGTGTTGCCGCTGAGAGTCCGTTGCCGAGTGAACAGGGTAGAAAATGCTCCCGGTAGAAAGCACCGATCAGTAATTACATCGAGTATAGAAGTAGTAGTGGTATAAGATTGTCCAGTGGTGGTGGCAGTAGGCTGCGGCCGGTTGGTCGAAGAGGTACGCTGTCTCACGTACCTGCTCTAGGCCATGTGCTTCTCTCAATGGAACAGAGTTTGAACTTTTGAACACTAATACAGTAATCGGGAAAACTAGTTTTTCAGGATCCACTGCACTGTTGAGATCTTCATTCATAAGGCCAAATGTCTGTAACAGAAAAATGAGTAGATCCAATTAATTGCGCGTTTGGATTATTAATGAATTTTTTGAAAGAATGAGTGTTAGACCATTCCGTCCCTCTCTCTCCTGCTGAAGGACACCACAATTATTGATCATTGAAGTATAATAGCGAAGTGATTCGTTGTAATTAATTGGAAGCTGAGCAATTGTCGTTTCAATTGAAGAATGGCTATTATGATGAGGCGATCGTAATTCGGAGATCACAACTCGATAAAGGACGTTGCGAATTGAACAAGAAATTGCTGGCTTCTGCATTTCTTAATGTCAGCGTCGGGGAGTCAAGGCCGCGATTTTTCGAGTCCATTCTCTTTCATTCTCTGCATGCTTATAAGATCGCCAGTATTGGGAGAAATACCGGATTATCATCTGCTGAATTTTCCTCCAAATAACAAAATAATCGTGCCAGTAGAAAAATGTGTTCGGAGTAATAAGATTCGCTCGCTTAATGAATATGGAAACAAAAATCACGAAAGGAGTGGTTGGGAACCGGATTGCACTCCGGGTTAAGGAATTTCGCCCAAAAAGAAAACGATGTAGCAGCTTGGTGCATTCAGGGTTTTCAGCTCACGGTCAATCTTAAATGCCGAATGACATCAATTTCCCTTTCACTGGATTGGATCCATTCTGAATTGGAGTTTAACCTTGGGATACTCTCACTATCAGCTTCAATTTTTTTCACGCAATTATTGATGACTACTCATTTGCATGTAACTTTTATCAACCGCACTTTTTTATTATCAAAATGCATGTGGGTTGGAAGAATTTTGTCACAATTTGAATGATCACATTATCAACTTATGGCGAATATTGAAGGTGAGATTTTTTTTCATTTGACAAGAAAAAAAAACATTTTCTATGAGGTTTTTAGGGTTGACTATCCTCAAGAATTTTTACGAGAGGTTAAAGGTCAGAAAATTTCATATTGATGCTCAGAAACGTATGATAATAGTAGGAATATGTTTCTCAAAATGGAGAAAAACTTCACAGATGAAACCTGAAGGCTTGACAAGGAAAATCAAGGGTCGCTCAAAAGTAGACTATAAGAGACCGTCACTTAATGACAAGGGACACTACAAGCGCAAACTTCTATCGGCAGAATGGAGTGATAATTAGTTTTTGTTCACATAATATTCAAAATTTTTTTGTTCATTAGCGTCGTAGCCATAATGCATGAAAAATCGTTCAGGGTCGCCTATCCTATCGATTCCTTGATGTATGAGGATGTATTTCACATTACGATACGTAAAGTTGACCAATTCAGGCTTTGTTATTAACCTTCCCACCATTATTTTTTTTATCAGTATGATGCTGTCTTCGATTTAACGCAACTTCTGAAATATGTAATTTTCTGACTGAAGACTTTTTGGTTCTATGTTCTGTTTTTGAGGCGGTCCAACTTCTAGGTTTTACGGGCCGTTATCCCTTTTAATCGGGATATTTTCTTTGCTAGTGGGAGTCCATTGTAAAGGTTATAAAATCCGATATAGAAAAAAACTGGCCGTTCTTTCTCTTCATTAGAATTTTTTCCTTAATAATGGGAGTCGATTGTAAAGATTACAAAATTAGAGAGAGTCACTTTTTGAACTGTCACCGATTGGCTGCCATTTTTCCACAATTTCTTGCCATGTTATCGACTCGGTCTCAGGAGCAATTCCAAATTTTACTATTCAAAATTTCTTGGTAATTGTCAGTTGAACGATTGACGGGAACAAAACGCCTAACAAATGAAAAACGAGGGAACAACGATTCAGGGAAAATATGAATGTACTCAACTAATACACGCATAACGCATACTATTTTTTATTACCCTGAATATAAAGTGGCGTTTTAGGTAGACTCCGCGTATGCAAAATTCGACTTTACACGCATCGTGATGAATAATAGAGGTCATGGGAAAAGTTGTTCATCGATGTATGGGAGATCAAAAAACAACTTTTATGTCGCGCCGTGCAATAAGTCGAGTTTATCGCACGCTGCGCTTCGCGCAGCCTGCTCAAAATTCGACTTCTGCACGACTTGACATAAAATATTATAAAGCACTCAGTAATAAATTTCGTTTTCAACGAATGTGTGTATAGACCTCGCCTTCGGCTCGGCCTGTAAACTACACATTCGTTGAAAACGAAATTTGTGCCCTTGTACTCTAATGTACTATTCGCACCCCCATCGGAATACACGAGTACGTAATTGGTGCATTGTGTTACACTGTTAGAAGTTTTTTGAAATTTCATGGACAATATTATAGTAAATCTCATGAGAGTGACATTGAATCGGATTTAGAGAAAAAATGGTTATGAAATTTCAAGTTTTAAGTAGAATTCACGGAAATTCATGGGTTTTCAGTGGGAGTGAGATGGAAATTTCACAGAAATACCAAGAAATTTTACCTTAACAGCACTAGAATTTTTCACCGCCGGTGGATTGTGATTTTTCCCAGTACTCATACTAGAATTTTTCTAGAAATTTCTCTCCGTGTATTCGTCTTATCAACAGTTGACAATAGATTCATCATTATGAATAACAATAATGAAAAAAAATCCCTGCTTGTTGAAAGTAACAACACAGAAACCAAAGCTAAGATTTAATCATAAGAAGAATTGCCCGTCGCTTTCCAACTCAAGTACAATCTGTACTTTCATTTCTTAAAGAAGCTAGTGCCCGTGCGACAAAAAAAGGCCAAAAATCCGACTTTCATGGAAGAAATGTAATGTAAGTAGTCATGTGCCACAGTGGGTCATAGCTATGGTAATGCTGATAGCATTTATCAATTTACCACTCATCCCGCAATTCTAATATTATAACTGTATATTCACAAACTCATCCGATGTATTTGGGATTATTCATACTTGTAGTTATCAAGTGTTTATAATTATGGATAATTCCTCTTTTCATGGAAAAATTTGCCCAGATAATCGGGTCATCAAGAGTCTAATCAATTTCCCGTTCGGCGTAAAGACAACTGACAATGCGACAATATTATCATTCCATTTTTTTTCGATAAAAACATCTGCAGAAATAATGGAATTGCAAGTTCAATTTATCTCCATTGAAATCTCTGAAGGCAGTAAAAGCTGGTGTAACAAATGCCCTGTGTATGCCCACTGTCATGACATTTCCAAGCACCCACATGTTTAAATTAATTCTCCATAACCAAATGCGAAACGTGTGTGATGTACTAAAAAGATTTCTGATTTTTCCCCATTTAATAGAATAATGGTTTTGTTGCAAAGGAGCAAAACAAAGTGAGTTAATGAATTTTCAGGCGATTTTTTCATAAATATTTGTGTGTTTAAGAAGATCCAAGTACTTTGACTATTTTTTCTCGTCAACCCCCCCCCCCCCGCCCTCACGTATGAGGCTCGCGAAGAGGACCTCATCGACCACGTACATCGAGAATTTAGGGACAAATCGGCTTGAATCAAACCGAAAAATCGGTTTGCATCAAATCGAAAAATCGGTCTGAATCAAATCGAAAAAGCGGTTTGAATCAAACCGAAAAATCGGTTTCAATCGGACCGATATTCCGATTTGCATCTGTCCGAGTCCGACTTGATTCATACCGCCAATTCGACATGAAACAAGTCGATCCCGGTCAATTGTGAAAATGTAGAAAACCCGCCTGTGCTTGTTTCCATTGTCTAAGAACGCACAGTGGACAGTGGCCAGTGGCTAGACAACCGATTAATTTATCTTGTGGTATTATCAGTGATCCTCGAAAAAATTCTCATACCCCACTGTTTGGATTATAAGAAACAAAATAGAAATTACATTGCAAAAATACGGTGGAATATAAACATTGTGAATCATAACACGTTTCAGAACATAAAACTGGATTGCGAATGATATTCCCATTCGATATGATGTAGACTTTGCATTTTACCATCTGAGTGTGTGACGGTTTCCAAATAAATAATGACACATCATATGATCGATGAAATATATACAGAGATAAAGACGAACACTGACACTGACGATTGTTATATCAACGATTACCTGAAGTAATCTGCACTTTTTGTAAAAAAAATCGACGAGAGGCTCAACTACATCGAGGCATTGCTCTAGAGAATCCCGTAGGTGACTGCCAAAGGATTCGCGTGTTCAACTATTCGTATGACGAGTGAATGTAAAGGAGCTACAGGGGGAACTTCGCGTTCACCTTCCCAGAAATCCGGCCACAAGCATGTATGTGTTGCAGGTGTATAACACAATCACGTCACAATTGTCCGAGTGAAAATGAATTAAATTATACGAGTTATTCTTCGTGGATATGAGTGTGCGTCCGTGATGTAGGTTTATATGAGTTGATATTATCATGCATTAACATCTCTTTCACTCTGCGAAAGAATGCAATTGTCTGAACATTTCTCTATTTATGATCGAAAATTTATGGGTAAGCATAAGCAGTATGACATGGATTAATTAAAGCAGTGTTTTATGAATTTATTCTTTTCTATGGAAATGAACAATTTCCAAGGAATGGAAATCACATGAAATTTAGACAAAAATTAATTATTATATTACACCCGGTGTTCCATAACATGGGATGTTCTAGAAAGTTGTAGAACGAGGTGGATCGCTGCAGAATCTTGTGGAAAATTTGAAAATCATCCGGAGAACTGTCCTATTGTTGGAGCATTGTTAAATCTTTCTAGAATGTTCTAGAATCTTCTACTATGTCCCTGACGTTTCTCCACGGAAATAAATGTTTAGGAAGGATTACGTGACAATCCACGCGAGCGTGGGATGGAATAATGCCTCTCCAAATATTCAATTTAAAATCAAGGAAACATTGTAAGGCCAAAGAAGAATTCCCTCTCGTAATATAATTTTCACGTGTCACTTTCGGATAATTCACTGTTTGCCAGAGTCATAGTTCACCCCACCAATTTTCAAATTACTTTCCTGATATATGAGGCAGAATATGACACTGTTGTACTCAGCGTGGGTGGTACTTATAATTATAGTAGGTTGGAAGCTTAGAGGGCTAAATCCCAACAATAATTTATCGGCATTGGAATTGGCATTTTTTTTGCTTAGTCGGTAAGAGTGCCCGGCGCGTATCTGGGAGACCCGGGTTCGATTCCCGGCTGGGTGAAGCGGAAATTTTTTCTCTCTAAATTCTAATTCTCTTGGAATTTTTTTTTTTTTTTTATGAGTTTCCCGAGTGGAAATTTTGTCAAGGTCTCCCGATGCATCATCGGGACCTGATCAGCCTTCGGTCTGGCAACCCTGATGTCGGTGCATCATCTACAGATTATGAGGGCAGCCTCATTTTAAGTGGAAAATATCAAGTTTGATAAAGTATGTTAGATGATGGCACAATCGAATCATTATTAGGTGCTCTAGGGATGGGGAACCTCTGATTATCGATCATACCATAGTACATTATCATGCAGATATGTACGAAATGTAGAGCGGGTTACTTCTGTAGAATACATTGAAATAGAGTGACTCCACGTCAAATTAGGAGTTGAAAAAAATCGATGTCGCCTATTGTGCTCGTACTTTTTTTTCCTGGATTTTACATAATTAGATAAGGCTTCAGGTAAAATTTCAGTCCAAAATCAAATTTTTTGTACGAGCGATATTCCAATACAAGGCTTCCATTCGGAAGTAAAAACAAGTCTGAATCCCATAAAAAATGAAGTTTTTCTCAGGAAAACAATTGCAGATTTCCTTAAATAAGATTGCTTTGATTCAAAAATTCGTTTTTCTAAACGTATAATTTGTTAGATGACGTTACATGAAAAAAATACTAAACTCATTTTCCTCATGGAAAAACGACAAAAAGGGGGTTTCATTCGCGACAGAGCATAATCTCTCAATCACAGGCCTAGTCAATTATTATTATTATTATTATTATTATTATTATTATTATTATTGTTGTTTATTCGAGAAAGACAGCATAGCTGGTACAAATCTCATACAAGTTGAGTAGCCTAAAAATAAGTTGTTGCGCACAATAGTAGACATGAACTCTCAAAGAGAATAACAGATGCTATATACATATATTTTAAATTATTTAAATTTTCTATAATCTTTGACAATATGATAAGCGCAAGATATAACTGTATTGACAAAACAAAAATGGTTCAATATGGCTGTTGAAAAATTCAAATATTTTCGGATAGGTATGAAAATTTTTGCAAACAATCAAGGGCATTGACGTCATCTTTATCCAGATATACTTTCGTCAGATGAAAAAGCTCACATGCGAAAGGTTCCGAGTTCAAATCCCGGCCGGGTAGAATGGTGCGATCTAACCATTTAAAGTCTTGATCATCATCGCAGTATAGCCTAACCACGTCGAAGCGATGTAAAATAACAATAAAAAAAAAGATGAAAAAGCAGAACAGGTTATTCAGAAGTCTTTCTCATAAATAGTAGTATGAAAATCGATGTTTCCAGAGATATTCGGGAGACTTTGGATTCTACCACTGTTGATTCATCGTATGACGTGTTTTCGAGTTCTGTCATTGAACCAAGGAATGGAATCTTCCTCAGTGTACACATCTTCTGATCACTCGAAAATCCAGGTAGTAGCTGTTTCAATATTTTTCAACATACGACAAACGAGCAGAATTTATTGAAATGATGCGAAGAGTAGAATTGAAGTTGGGAAAATATTAATTCACGATCTCCCTAAAATACAAAAACAGAGGTTTTTGTAAAAAACTGCAGCAAGAAAAGTTTCGCTTGGTTTTTACTGGAAAATTGAAATTTTTTAAAAATGCCAATAAATGAAAAAGAAAGCCAAGTCAGGAATGTCAAATAGATGGGTATCGTGCTCACCTTCGACTCGGACGCCAACTCCACGCGAGAAAAAAAAAACCATGACACTAGTCGTGAATGATATTTTTCCGTAAAGATTTTACGAGTTTGGGGAAGGGCTAATACTAATCCCCGGGCGAGAAAAAGTGAATGTCAGTGCGGAAATAGTATATTACATGCCCGAGCCTTGGAAAACAAATCACCGTCCCCCACGTGCACGATTGCCTTCAGAGACGAAGGCGAGGCCCCCAAAGCTCCTACAAAGTTTACGAGATATTGGCGTTTTTCAATTTTTTTTGTCTGAAAGTTGCTTTGACATTGTGAAAGATGTAGTAAAGGTTTAAAATATTGAGGACTAATTAGCATCATCGAGTTGTACTCCTGTCTAAAATTTCAGATGGATCGATTTAATACTTTTAGAAATAGAGCAATCGATATAAAAAATGTTTTTCGCATAAAATGACATATCGTTGTTCAATCATTGATTTTCACATGGAAACATTTCGTAAAAATAGGATCATGTAGATATGCCTATCCCACTGGATAAAACCGAAATTTAATTCTCAATTTTAGGTCAGCCGTTTCAAGGATCAGATTCTTTCAAGACAAAATCATTTTTTTTCCCAAAAAATAAAATTTCTACGGATCCATTCGGACGCTTGCTATCAATGGAATAGGTAGAAATAAAAAAAAGAAAAGGCTAATAACGCATAAAGTAATGGTCAAATGTCTTCTGTCGGATAGGCTCGATCCCCTGCTTGTTTCATTTTATGGAAAATTTCTTAAATTCTGTTGAGAATTATTTTCCTTTTACAAATCTGATTGTGCAGTATACCCATTCATTCAATATTCCTGACTTGGCTTTTTTTTTCATTTACTTGTATTTTTAAAAAATTTCGACTTGCCAGTACGAACCAAACAAAACTTTCCCTTGGCGCCGTTTTTTATAAAAATATTTGTTTTTTTTAGGGAGACAGTAATATAGAGACATTATCAACTGTATATACAGTGCAATGCCAAATTAATCTCGTGGGGCCTCCCGTAAGAGAATTTTCATAAATCCAAATATTTGTTCCATAAATTCACGACACGAAGAATTCATGGATGAGATTAATTGTAAACTTTCAGAGCTAATTTATTATATTTATCGAACGATAAAATGCATGTCATTGCAAAATTTATTTTTGTTAGTCACTTTCCTCAAATTGTTATGCTGGAATATTAATGATATATATATATATACATACATATATATATCATAACACATTATAAATCCATTCAGTCTGCGTTGGATAAAACAATCGGTATCTGGAAATTTTTTTCTCCTCCGTTATCAGAGCTCATTACAATGAAGATTTTATTGTACAACTTCCTAATATGTGGCTTGTTGTTCTCAAGTACTGACAACCATTTTATAATTTAAAATGAAAACATGATAGTGACTTAATAATATGAACGTGATTGCATAGGCTACAGCAATGATGATATCCACTATTACTCGAGAAGTTCGTCACAATGGAAAGTAATAAATATCAGTGAACCGGACTCAGGCGATGCTGCTCCAGCGGTGGACGAGGGCGAGGGCCTTCATGTTCCATTGACCTATGGAGTTAATTATAAACGTAGAGGGAGATTATTTACTCCTGAGGAATGTGCACGTCGTTGTATCATCGGAGCTAGACCGAGGAATTGTTACTATCACTTCACAGTAGAGATTTATCGGACTCAGGGCGGGTAATTATAATCCAATAAATCGTTGAAACTTCTTCTGAATATGTCATGTGATTACCGTCAATGTCCTAGTTATTGCCATTTAAACCCTCCCGCGTCCTTTCTAAGGGTCTCATAAATACATTTTCTCAATAATGCCACACTTCAATACACAAAATCGGTACTTGAGGGTGTTTTTAGCATTTATAAGTTACATTCTTTCATAATATATCGTCGCAACTATGAGGCGACTGAGTGCCCGAAAACCGAAAATTTGTTATATTTACAACGCGACTTAAGAAGAAATATGTTTCGTTCAAGATGATATTCTGTGCCTTCATCTCTTTGGATTGAAGATAGTGTATTGTATTACTAGTGTTTAAAGATCCACTTTTTTGCAAACAGGTGTAAGACATACATCCTATTTTTTGTGATATTTGTCGAGTTCACAGTTTGGAATAATTGTGGGGGTAAGGTGGTTCTTTTTGTGCAACAGTGCGTACACAGTAAAAAATTCGGTGTGGACTTGTTGGGACACCGTTCGGTGTTGAATTAACACCAGATTTTACACGCGATTTCGTCATTAGGCCGAAAAAAAATTTTCGTGTCAGCGGACCTGAAAAAAACCCATTTTCTGTAAAAACTATGGATAGTAAAAAACATTCATTTAATATAAACAAAACTTCGAATAAATATTTGTATTTAATTTGAAAAATAAACTTTATTTGGTACTATTTATTTTTATTTGATTCAAATAAATCATTTTTTTGGGTGTTCCTTACCCCTCAAATACTGACTATTCTGATTTACGCTAAAGAGGGATAATTTGAAAATCTTTGCACAGAAAGGACACGTCCAGAAAATTTATTGTGTTACTGTGGTAAACGAGACACTATTCGTCGGGCATAGAAAGAACGAAAGATATTCATAAAAATTTCTCGTCGGCGTAGGGAACATTTTTGTGTAGTGCGGAAACTTATCCCGTATTTCTATGGAATTTTACTATGCAGGGCAAGAAATTTTGTCACGAATTTCACTGACTAGCCCTACAGTTTTTGCCTGATAAATAGATCGCGTGTGAGAGTAAATGCATAGCATCTATCGCAACTCTTCCTTGAGTAATGCTCTTTTATATCTCAACTTTAACCGAAGATAGAAGATGGGACTAAATGTAAAACTATCAAATTTGTTGACAACGATAATTCAATAACCAGTTTTTTATTTTTCTTGTTTCAATCATCTTCAGTGCTTGTCGCCTATGTCGACCGAGAACCAACACATCATTAAGCAGTGACTGTCAGTGTATTGAAACAGATGGAGTAGATCAGGCTGGCCTCATGGTGATCAACAGGATGTACCCAGGCCCTGCGATCCAGATGTGTCTGGGTGATCTCGCTATCATTGATGTGCACAATCAAGCCATTGGCACGGGTATCACTATCCACTGGCACGGGTTGTATCAAAAAAATTATCAATACTACGATGGTGTGCCTTTCGTCACCCAGTGTCCCATATCACACGGAGTGACTTTTCGATACAGGTGGCGTGCACATAACGTTGGTACACACTTCTATCATGCCCATACGGGCATTCACAAATCTGATGGTCTCCACGGGGCTATAATAATTCGACCACCAAAAAGGCTGGATCCAAACAGAAGATATTATGATGAGGACAATTTTGATAATGTTATTTTTATCAATGATTGGTTTCATGAATCGGCTGTGGATCACTGGCCAGGCACTAGCACGCGAAATATTGGTCAAATTCCAAAGAATATTCTCATCAATGGAAAAGGACAGTGGTTTGTAAGTTTTTACAATTACATTATTATTGATCCCTTCATTTGTCGTTCTTCGATCAAATCTGACGCTTAGTGATGCCGTCGAGACTAGTCGAGAATTATTTTGAAGAGATTATCACGGTCGGGAAAAACCTCGAAAGTTTTGGAATCGTCGCAATCTCGAAAAACATTGGATCGGTGCATCTCGTCACAATTCCGGGAGGATTCATCTTGCCTGGATCTCGAGATTTTCGGTTTTTTAAGTTCACGAGACGAGACGAGACAGATATCGAGACAAACATTTGAAAAACAGAAAATACTGAAACTCAGACGTGATTGATCCTTCCAAGTTCGTGACGAGATGCACCGATCCAATGTCTTTCGAGATTACGACAATTCCTAAACTTACGATGTTTTTTTAGACCGTGATGATCTTTCCAAAATAATACTCGTCTAGTCTCGACGGCATCACTACTGACGATTTAATTCATTTTGAGGAATGTGTTCTGCCCATGCGCTTGAGTTTTTGTAGCCTCTGAAACCTTGTAGGATGTCTCCTATGTTAATTCTATCTTCCCCTTAATTTTCATCTACTGTCTTATGAAATCCATCCAGGGACACCTCTTAGGTTCGAGAAATGAAGGGGTTTTTCTGCATTCGTAGAATTCTATGTAGTCTTTAAATGGCACGCAATAATATTTCCAGGACCCCAACATCGGTGCGTACACCAACTCATCTCTTGCGATAGTCAATGTAAATCCGAATCGTCGTATCAGATTCCGCATGATCAACAGCTTGAGTTGGACTTGTCCTGTTCGCTTCACAATCCAAGATCATGACTTAACACTCATAAGTACTGATGGTGATGATGTGAAACCAAAGACTGTTACTACTATTGTTTCTTTCGCTGGTGATTAAAATTGATTTCATATCAACTCTATATTTATAATGCGACTTTGATGGAGAAAAAATTTCAGCCGAACGCTACGACTTCGTCCTCAATACAAATCAGGCGCCTGGAACTTATTGGATTCAAGCTCGGCTGGTGGGTCCTTGCGCATCGAGAAATATTTCGCAAGTGGCGCTATTGCGTTACGTTGGAGCACAATTCTTGGAACCAAAATTGAAACGCCCGGTTGATAATCCTGGATTGCCATTAGGAGTTGTAAGACATTTACAGCGGGAGAAATTGATACAGATTTTGGCCATCTTTCTCATTATTTTTCTTTTCGACTTGTAGATCTTCAATCAGGTAAATGAAGTATGTGCCCATGCGAATCCCAATATAGTCTGTATGAAAGACCTGGAGACAACCGAACCAGTCAACAAGAGAATTCTAGCTCCAAGGCCAGATGTCAGTATATTCCTACCTTACGACTTTTATATATTTAGCGATGAGGAGCTGTTTAAACCAAGAACTTATCCACACTTCCACGGTACATTATCAGAAACAATTGTTTTCATTTCATTCGTCTGTTCAGCTGAAGTTAACATTTATTCTTATTGATTCTCTTTATAGTGCCAACGGGTGGTAACGGTTCAGTTGCTATGATTTCCGATATTAGCAATGTATTTTCGGGGTCACCATATCTCACGCAAATTCGTGATATTCCATCTGGGATGATTTGCAACGGAAATTCTAAGCCTAGGAAGTGTCTCCCTGGAAAGCCATGCTTCTGTTCACATGTTATCGATATTCCACTCGGAGCAGTCGTTGATATTATCATGGCTGACCTAGGTCAGTAAAGTTCTAAATATATAGTGTTTTTCTCAGGTTTTGGAAATGAACATTTATAACTCATAATAACTTTTTTCTCCGTAAAAGGTCCTAATGGATTGTCTCATCCTTTCCATATTCATGGTTATGGTTGTCATGTAATGGCTCAAGGTCTCCTAAGGGATGTCCCTCTTACAGAAAAAAATAAATTCCAAGCTTTGCGCCTGCATCAAAATTATTATAAAGATTTTCCCACACAACCAGTTGTCAAAGATACTCTACCTACTCCGTCTGGTGGATATAGTATTTGTAGATTTATAGCGGACAATCCAGGTGAGAATGTGAATTATTTACTAGAATTCAAGTAATGAATTGTTGTAATAAATTTTAATTATGGTATATTATTTTTTAGGATACTGGTTGTTTCACTGCCATTTCATGTCACATTTATTAGTTGGCATGGAACTGACCTTCAACGTAGGGAAGCAATCAGATCTCCCTCCAGTACCGAAAGGCTTCCCAAAATGTGGAGACTTTACTCCGAACCTTCGTTAGGCATAATTTATCTTTATCTTTATTATCATAGTATTTATTGCAAATTCGACCCGAAGGGAAGAAGTTATTATTATGACCTCGAAAACGAAATGTAAAGTATTCATGATTCCCCCATGATTCATGACCTCTAGAAGAATCCTCATATGTTTCATATATATATCCGTGTGTGTGTGTGTGTGTGTCTGTATGCTGCGTCAGATCTGCGATCGTGAGCACCGAAATGACCACCAATGACAGGAATGCTTGAGGTGGCTTCGACTCCAGAAGCCGTAGCATCCATCTGCTTTGCTTATTGTTCGAAGTTGAGTCGAGTGTCGATCATCACCCCCAGGGAACGAGTGAACGGCTGAGAAGTGAGTTCTTAGTCCCCAAATTACAGTGTTATAGTATCAACTTGCTTTCTGCTTGTAATCACCACAGCGTCTGTTTTCTGCTCTGCCAGATGCGGGCCTATGCTATCCATCCAACGACGAATTACCTTGAAGGTCATCTTGAAAAGAGGTTTAAGCACATCTAGATGGTTTCCTACTATGACTACGACTACGTCATGCGTAAATGCCACGAAATTCACATCACGCTTATTCCATGGTTGCTTCTTGCTACACTTTATGGCTTTGTTGAGCTTTCGGCATATCTTCTTATATCTCATCTGAAATTCCTCGAAGTTCGATTTGTTTCGGCCACGTTGAAATGATTTTCTCGCTTTAAATAAAATCTGACGACCAGTTTTCAAGACATTGAATGAGGTAGATTTGCGTACAAAGTTGAATATTTCAGAGCCTAACCATCTCATTCAACCTACTTGTAATATGAACTATGTTGCAAGCATAAGAGGAAATCTCATGGCAAATTTCAAGTTAATATGTTGATTACTTTAAAAAGTAGAGTGCGTACAAGAATTCTCAGCAAAAGAAGAGAAAAATGGAAATATCTTGACAACTTCGAATAAATAGGTTTAGCGTCTCGCTACATTCTAATGTAAGAGTTCGCGTTAATCAGCGTCGACCGGGACATACACACACTTGTGTCTCGTACGCACACAACATATCATGCGTTTTCATTATAATATTTCATCCAATTAAACTAGTCTAGCCCTAACCGTCCAATATTCAGAAAATCGACCATCTGAGTTGCTACTACTTTTGTATATATTTCTAGAGGTGATTGAATAAACAACAATTGAGTTAAACGAATTGTTAAATAGTGCATTGATTATTCTTCCCAACACGACTACCTTCGATCTCCACATGGGTATATATATTTTTATTGATTGGCATAAAATGCATCGAGACGATTATTTTGAAAAAACAATTAACAACAATAACTAAAGTCGCTCAATAAATCCCTAGATCCACCGAAGACTTTCAAATTTCACCGGGGTCACCCCTTAATACTTTACGCGCCCAATCTTGGGTATAACCCGACGAACTGGCGCAGTGGGTAAGAGGGTTGCCTCACATGCGAGAGGTTTCGCGTTCGATTCCCTGTCGGGGAGAATGGTGATGATCTAACCATTCAAAGTCTTGATCAAGCGGCCGCTACAATAGATCTTGATAGATTTAGGTGGCATAGGGCGCTTTGTGCGCCTAGTCGCTCCATTCTAATCTCCAAATTCTAATCTCTAACCTTGGGTATGACCCTCGTTTTGTTTGACATTACGGTATACGCTTCATCCTTATATCTATTGGAGGAAATTGAAAAAACTAATCTGTAGATAGACTAAAAAATTCTCTACTAAAACGGGTCCGATCCCTACATCCCTACGTAATGCCGATTTTCTCTACATGCAAAAAAATTCCCTATGATTTAATCCCTATGATTGAAGACAACATGGATCGCATCCTGATCTGTAATTGTTGGTATACGTTCGATGTTGGCATAAATGAGTCTTAAGTTTTCATTTTTCTCTTCTTAAATCAGGCAGTCTACAACTTTTTTGTCGGGGGTTTTGTAATGGAGTCGTTGTGTATGTGATTTGCCCAAACGCATTAAAGAATTTAGGATCTATTCGGAAGCTTACTACTAATGTAATCGGTAGAAATAAAGAGGAGAGAAAGACTATAACACATACAGTAACTGTCGCATGCCCTGTCGATTACTTATTATACTTTGTGAAAAAAGGCAATTGTTCGCTTTTCTCAGCCACTGAAGATAGATAACTAGTAAGACATTGTGTCAAGGGTGAATGACTTAATTGCGGTCTTTGAATGCAATTTTTCCACTCATGGGTGATTATCTTCCAGGATTAGAGACTCATCAATTAAAAGTAGATCTGATAACCGATGGAAGTTCATATAAATTCATATTAGCACCTCATTTGTGGAGTCTTCGAGGACAATTTCCAAGTAGTCACAACTCTAATTTTCACGTTGTTCCACATTACCATTTTCTTGAAGTACTCAAAATTCTATGGTATTGATTAATACATCCTAGAAATTTCATCACGTGAATAATGTGGGACATAATCGAATGCGAATTATTCAATAAGAATATCCATTAAAGGGCCTTGTGGTAAAATACAGAAATTTGGAAGGAGTTTCCAAAATGCAATTGTATACTGGATTATTGTTCTTCTTAATTTCCACGATCGCTCATAGTGAATATATCCATCACGACAGAAGTCACGGTGAGCACAATGAGCAAAGAATAAAAAAAAGTGAATTCGGCTCACAATGATGATGTATTACTCTTCTCATTTCAAATGAAGGTCATAATTGGTACGTATTGTGATGTTTTTACCCAGCTCAAAAAACTCGTATCATAGAGTGGTATTCGAGAGGTTCATCAATGAGAAAAACAATGGAAGTTACTGAAGAGGACCCGGATGCTGGCAATGTTACTATGAAGAAAGACGAGGACCCTCACATGCCTCTGGAATATGGAGTTCATTACGATGGCCTAGGAAAATTATCTACACCTGAAGAATGCGCGCGACCTTGCAAGAAAGGAGCTTGGCCTAAGAATTGTTACTATCATTTCACAGCCGAGCTTTATCGAACTCTGGGCGGGTAATTATCATTTAATTCAGAACTGAATGAATAATCAGTCGATAAATCAAGATTTTAGTTGGAGACTACTCATTAGTTGCGCAATGAATGAAGCGGAGATTCAGACCAACATCTCATTTTTAGGATGAGAAACTATTAGCAATTACTGTAACCAAAATTACCGTTAACTGAAGAACAATTTTTTTCGGTGTTTTTTCAGTGCTTGTACTTTGTGCCGACCAACAACCAACACATCACTGAGTGCAGACTGCCAGTGTGTTGTTGGTGATGGAGTTGATATGGCTGGTATCATGGTAATTAACAGAATGTATCCGGGACCATCGATTCAGCTATGTGTGGGTGATCTCGCTATCATTGATGTAAACAATAGAGCTATTGGTACATCTATCACCATCCATTGGCATGGGGTCTATCAAAAGAACTACCAATACTACGATGGTGTTCCTTTCGTCACCCAATGTCCCATAATACAAGGAACAACTTTTCGATACAGGTGGCGTGCCCAAAATGCTGGGACCCATTTTTATCATGCCCACACAGGTCTCCACAAACCCGATGGTCTTGAAGGTGCAGTTATCATTCGACAACCAAAATTTGAGGATCCGAATAGCGATCATTTTGACGACGATGAGTTCGATAATGTCATTTTTATTAATGATTGGTTTCATGAATCAGCCATCGACCACTGGCCAGGTACTAGCACGCGAAGAGTTGGCCAAATACCGCACAACATTCTCATCAATGGCAAAGGACAGTGGTTGGTAAGCTTATAAAAATATTCATAGTACTGATGACTGTTCGGATTCATCTGTCAAAAAAATTTCAGGACCCGTCAACAGGTAACTATACTAATTCGAGTCTGGCCATTATCAATGTCCAACCCAATCGCCGTATTAGGTTCCGAATGATCAACAGTTCGAGTTGGACTTGTCCTACTCAGTTCACAATCCAGAATCATAATTTAACGCTCATTGGTACTGATGGTGAAGAAGTAAAACCAAAGATGGTCACCACTATCACATCTTATTCTGGTGATTATGAGGAATCCATGATTTGCTAATTATTTACCATAATTCCCATTAACTGAAATTGTCAACAGCGGAACGTTATGACTTTGTTCTCCATACCAATGAGACGATTGGTACTTATTGGATTCAAGCTCGGCTGATACATTCTTGCTCATCAGAAAAAATCACACAAGTTGCTATATTGCGTTATATTGGATCAGAATTAGATATTCCGGCATTAGAAAGACCTCGTTACGATCCAGGATTGCCATTAGGCATTGTGAGACATTTATTACTAATTGTACAATGAGACCTGTTCTAATTCTCTCATATGAATTTTTTTTATCTGCAGATCTTCAATGATGTGAATCGTATATGCAATGATACAGATCCGAATTTTGTCTGCGTCGGAGACCTTCAAACAGCCGATCCAATTGATGAGAGAATTCTAGCTCCCAAAGCAGACATCAGTATTCTTCTGCCGTACCAATTCCATTTATTCTCTAATGAAGAGCTATTTAAACCAAATACTTATACACAATTCTTAGGTGATATACGAATTTCTAAAAATAGAAGATCAGTTTTTTTGCGATGGGTTTCAGCTAGAAATCCTAACCGTTTTTCCTGTTGCCTTTTTCCACAGTTCCTTTTGGAGGTAATGGAGCAGTTGCCATGATTGGGAATATCTCAAATGTGTTTTTGGGATCGCCTTATATTAGTCAAATGGCCGATATCCCACCCGACATGATCTGTAATAAGTGTTCTCTACCTGATAGATGTCTCCCAAGGAAACCATGTTTCTGTTCACATATTATACACATACCACTCAATACGGTCGTCGAAATTATTATGACTGATGCTGGTCAGTTTTTGCAAGATAAATAAGTATATCCTCCTGACACGCTGATTCAGAAACTATAGCTTGCTTTTATTTATTAAGGTGAAAATGGATTGTCTCACCCCTTCCATCTCCATGGTTTTGGTCACCATGTAATGGCCCAGGGTCATTTGAAGGATGTACATATCACGGAAATTAATAAACACTATGCTCTGGAGCTCCACCGGCAAGCATATCAAGATTTCAGAACTGAACCACCTGTCAAAGATACCCTAGCTGTCTCAGCGGGTGGATATACTATCGTCAGGTTCATAGCTGACAATCCTGGTAAAATTTTTAATAATTCATTATTTATTCCTACTATCTTCTTACATATTCTCATCAAATTTCTTGTTATGACATTCCATTTTATAGGATACTGGCTGCACCACTGTCATTTCATGTCGCATTTATTGGTCGGAATGGAACTAGTTCTCCATGTGGGAGAGGATTCAGACCTTCCTCCAGTTCCAAAGGGTTTTCCAACATGTGGAGACTTTAAACCACGATCTTGATAAATTTTGTAGATGTTTTAATGTCAACGCTATTGGTGATAAAAAATTTTAATTTTGGCAAGAAAAATCCTGTTGGGTACAATTTTACTCTTTATAATTTGAACTGTGCGTTCCTCCACAAAAGTTTTTCTGATACTTCGGTCGCGGGAATGAAAATTTTACATCCAGGCGATTCAATCATATTAAATTATCTCGTTTATGGACAAAATTTCCCCCAAAAATTTTGAAATTTTTACTGAAAATACTTCAATGATCCTTTTATTGAATGGCAAAAGTTAAACTTCGACTTGCTGAATAATTTGTTTGTTATAAATAAATTTAGCATGTTCGAAGATCTCGGCAAACATTGTAATTGGTGTCAAAAATTAGGAAATTCTCTAGGAGTTTATTTCACCATTCAATACAGCCAATGCATTTTATTTTAATTTTTTGCGTTCGACCGTTTTCAAGTTATCGTTCATTCCATAACAGAGTTGACGCGCCGTAAGTCGTCCGGCCGTTGGGACACGCCGTTAAATGGGTGCCGTACGTGAGGGGTTAATTTCTAAATGCACCCTTCAAAAATCCTCGGATCCAGATTTCCACGCTTGATTTTTCTTATTCTATTATTCTGAATATTGTATAAAAATTTGAATTCTCTTCTTGTGGCTGCTGACGTCGGTAGCCGAGTGGGCTAGACGCGAGTCTAGTGTGCAGAAGGTTGCGAGTTAGATCTCAAGTGGAACCGAATTTTTCAGTCTAAGGCTCCAGTAACCCGAGTGGAAATTTTAGTCAGGTCTTGATCAGACACTGATCCGAATGTTTCAACGGAAGGTTTCTAATAGAGTAACTGGAATTAGGTGTATTTTTGTACCCGGAAAAAATTTAACAATATTTAGAAAACATTGTCGACGATTATTCGTGCATTGACGAGTCAATTTAATAATATGAAACCATAATACACTGTACGCTGTATTCATTTAGTTGATTACGCCATTTACTCGGTGTTAGATACGTTCGATGACTAAGTGGCCGTCGAGTGGTTTCTAATAGCCACTTCGGCGGCGTTTGGATGAGTTCTCGACTGTTGCCGATCGTCATGGCAACCGATGAATGGAAATTTGAATTAGCAATTAAAATTTTAGGAAGGATTCTAAACAACCTCCATGATCCTTATTCTGATCCTTGTGATCCTTAATCTGACCCTCGTGACCCTCATTATGACTCGCATTATACTTTTATTTTGTCTTAATTTCATCACCAAAAGTCGATTTGGATTTTTTATAATATAAAAAGAGATTGAATCAAAGATTTAAATAATCATTTTTCGTGTTACATTCCATATTGTTCATGTCATATCGACCGTGTGAAGTTGTTATCTAGATTACCGATTGCTGATGACTAACTAACCGAATGCAACTGAATAATATCAGTCAGTTACTGGTATCCGGTAAAGCTGGATTCTACTTTCACAACTGTGGGTTAAAATAATTTCTTGTCACATATGCTCACGTGTATTAAAAAAAAAGCATTCAACAGATTTGATACATGAAGGCTTTCATTCACTGTTTCTTACAGTTCTGGACCTCTCTTGAACCACATGAACTGTTTATGAATTTAAATTTCCAATAACCGAGAACATCGCGTCATCGAGTAATAAATTATACAGATCGTTATAGCTTTCCACCTTGTACTGAATTCGTTCTTTCAATGCAGTTCTCACTTCATCCTCTCAAGGATACACTGACATTGCACGAACATGCTCCCGGGTCGTGGAACTTTCCTCTGACCCGATTACTCTCTTAGAAATTTTCGAATGAAAATGTACGTACGCCGATTCGGATACGGTGAAATAAATCACACCTCCTTTTAATTTTCAATGTGCAGAAAACTAAAAGAGTTTGAAGAATTCAAATAGTGTCGTTTGTTCAGAGAGATTATCACCTAAACCGTTATGTACGCAAGTTCAAGTTCACCCGAGGTCACGATCATTCTCAATCGCTTTGTCTATTTATCGAATTCGGAAGAAATTATTTACCTGAAAACACTAATAATATAAATCCATCAATTAATTTCTTTGGCAAATGAGATATATCAATTATGTAACGAGAATCAATTATTTCACATGAATCTTTCGTAATTTTTTCTGTGGCTAAATAATGTACGTCAAGTCACGTAGCATGCGTCGTTTGATCTACCTGATAGTAATATCAATAGAAAAAATTACTCCTTTGTTCATCGAGATAAAAAAAAATTCATAGTTGTAACGAGCTTGAAAAGATCGCCTGTCGATGTCGAGTAAAATGTTTTTAAAATTCAACAACCATTTTTTAGAATGTGGAATTCACGTGTTCTTTCCTCGCCAATAGAAATCGTCTTACCCAAACGAAAGAGCGATTGACCTTTACACAGTCATGAGTCACATCAATGGGAAGAATTTTTTTATATTATTTTGATATTCGTTACGACATATCGGCGATATAAAGATAGAAAAAACCAAAAAAGTCGAGATCCAGGCAAGATAAGTCCTCCCGAAATCGTGACGAGCTGCACCGATCCCATGTCTTTCGAGATTGCGACGATTCCAAAACTTTCGCTGTTTTTTCTGACCGTGATGATCTATCCAAAAATTTTATCGTGTCAACTCTCCGGCATCACTAATTTTGACGGACTTCTCTAAACTGATATGTGATATCGGGTTGCTGTTTTTACTTCTCTACACAGCAAAAACAAATGTCTTAATTTCACACACCTTTTGTAGACACTTTTCAGACATTAAAAAAGGTCTAAATAAAATGAAAATTTGTCTGAATTTGCAATATAAATTAAGATGTTCAGGCACCCGTTCGTCTGAAACTCAGACGAATGTTTATTTGTGGACGTCCGCATGAAAAGGGACCACTTTGGCACTATTGGAGTTATGTATATTCCCATAATCTTGATCTGATCCTGAACATTTAGAGCCCAGAATGAACTTGATAGCGTAAAGAGTGACGACGCTAAAGAAGATCGAAAAAATAATTTAACATAGGTTTAAATGGGAGTTGGCAAGAGAATAACGTGAATATCTCGGAAACTAGAATCGACAAAGTGGTCCCTTTTCATGCGGACGTCCACATTTAATTCAAAAGTTTTTAGTGCCTGATAAATGTTGACAAAAAGTGTGTGAAATTCAGACATGCGTTTTTGCTGTGCATCCGCAACAACATCTAAAATATATGTAAAAATCGATGCAAACTACACCAAGTCGCAGAAACACAGGTCCGTTCCATTCTCTATGATAGTTGGCCGACTTTCAGCTGCATGGAGCATCCTTTCACCTGGCAATACGGGACTATCCATAATAGTCAGCTTAATGTTCCTTGAACGGTGTTTTCCAGAGAGTTCATGTCTCTTTGTTGACAGTTTAATCATTGTTTCAAATGCTGATACGGAAGAAAGTATGACTAGAGAAATAATAACAAATTGAACTGGTTCAGCATCGAGACATTTAGCAATCCACGACGGAATTGCGCGATTACAAACATCTTTGCTCTCCTTTGAAGTTAATTTCAATATTGCAATTATCTTCATGACGAAATACATCAGGTCTTGCCATTCACATTCAGTAATTGATATGTGTGGCAACCATTGCATTGTTTGATAGTTAATGCTGAAAAATTATTAACTTATCAACGTAATTGGGCACACGGCGTAATTCACCGTCATGCACGAATTATTTCTCAACCTTCCTACGCAAAGGAACAACTTTCATGAAAAATGAGTAAAAAAATTTGAAACTCAAATTGCGTTCCCCAAATTTCTTGTGTAACATCAATTTTTGAAGTTCTCACCACATTTCACCGTGCGCGCTGGTCCTGTTCGGGAGCCTCATACATGGAGGAAGGGGGGATTGTACATCAAGAATTCAGTACACCCCCCCCCCCCTCCCGTAGACGACTTAGTTTGTCGGTGAGTTTTTGGAGAATATCACCAAAACTAAGGGAGATAGCGAATTTTTTACTGAAAAATTAGGGGGAGAGGGAGGATTCGCGATGTCTTTGAGTGTGAATTTCCAATGCACAACCCCCCCCCCCCTTTCGTTTTGTAAAAATTCGCCATTTTTCTTAGTTTTAGACCTATCCTTGAAAAAGTCGGCGACGAGCTAAGTCTACGGGAGGGTTGTACATCGAGAATTCAGTACAACCCCCCCTAATAATTCATAATTTTTTTCCCGCTAAATCGCATTCAGTGTCACTGTCCTGAAAATTCAAGAATATATTTACCAGAATTTTCTGGTTTTCTATTCATTCTCAGGGAAGAATGAAACGGACATTTACAGTTCTGTTCGATTTTTCCGGAAATTCTGAATTTTTAATGACAAGATTTCTTGAAATTTCAGTGGAACTTGAACACGATAAAAATTTCCGCAATTTGGCACGGAAAATTCAGATGAAAATTTTTAACAGTGTACGGCAGCGCACTCCGTGCACCAGCCGTGCAACAGCCAATGTCGCAGAGCCTCTCACAATTTCTACTAGTGTTATTATCAAGACATATGAACGAATAAAAATGATGTCGTTTTATCCGCATTATTGGACCTTCATTCTTATCCGCCGTTCTTCTTTTTATAAAAATGCGTAGAGCCCGATCCGTAAGCACGTTTGACCCTTAAAAACGTTCGACTTCCGAGAACTACAACAACTTAGTCACTGGACCTTTACTCCATACTCGGAGAAATCCGAAGTCTCCAGCCTAGTCTGTGATTTGAAAAATAGTAATTTTCAACGAAACTTGTTATTTCGTTTTTCAATATTATTGAATTTTTGATCCCCGTAAAAACCTCCCCGGAAAAAATCTCTCCGCAGAAATCCGAAGATTTCCGAGAGATTTTTTCCGAGGATCAAAATTCCGGTCACATGTTTTTAAAGTTGTTTTCTATTAAATAACATGAATAGAGGTCTCCACATCCTGCATCGATAAGGCACTTTGACCATTCCACATAGGATAACGATAACCACACGTTACCGCTCATGATTATGAGTTTCAGAAGCAAGAGAGGAGCATCTACTTGATCTAATGATGGCTAATTTCAAAATGAGAAATTCCGGACGCATGCAGGCTTAAGCCGCCCCAGAATTTGAGGTGATGTAAATCCAATGTTGGAGTAGAGAAGACAAAAATCAAAGGAACGGTAGATCCTTTAATTTTTCCAAAAAAATAAGTTCACAATTCTCAAAAATGATAAAAATGATACAAAATGTAATTATTATCCGGCTCCGTTGTAATGCATAAATGAGTAACAGTAAAGTTATAAACAATCAAAAACAATGATAAAAACTTGAATAGTTATTCCCTTCTCTATATGCGCACTCGACAGCAGTGTGGAAAGAATGGGCATCAACATTATAAGAAAACTACACTGTTAAAAATTTTCGTCTGAATTTTCCGTGCCAAATACCAGAAATTTTAATCGTGTTTCATTCCCACTGAAATTTCAGAAAATCTTGTCATTAAAAAATCAAATATTTCATTGATTTTCCAATAGAATCATCTAAAAATCAATAAAATACTTGATTTTTCAGTTCAATTATTCCGTGAAAATTCAGAGAAATCAGGAAAATTCAGGGGAAAATTGAAAATTCATGTCATATTGTTTCTGAATATTCATGTTCCATTGAAAATTCAATCAAGTTGTGAAATTTCCATCTCACTCCCACTGAAAACTCATGAATTTCCTTGAATTCTACCTAAAACTTGAAATTTTATTAGCAATTTTCCCCTAAATCCGATTCAATGTCACTCGCATGAGAATTACTATAATATCTTTCATAGGATTTCAAAAAAATTTCTAACAGTGTACTAGTGTACTGGAGATTCAATAATATTTGCTACGATGATATGGGAAACTCTCTTTCCTTCACCCTTTGTAAGATGAATGTCTCTAGTACTGGATTGTTTACCAGTCAATCGGGTAAGCTTTTATGAGCTATGAAACCTGTAAACTTTAGTATTCGACGTGACATCTAACTTTCTATTGTTCAGAAAACTGTTGAAAGGCTACGAAACTTTTCTAAATTTTGTTTCTACCATGATGCTACATGTGACAGTGAGTTTGAATTGAAAGCTCAGGGAAACCTAGAGAAACTCTGTTGTGTTCTCGTATTGCTCTTTAGTCATGTTTCTGCATATCGGTTAAAAATTATTCTCCAAAAGGATATAGACATTAACGCAGGAATAAAAATCTCCTCATTCGACTGTAAAACTTTACGATTTTCTCTCAGTGGGTTATAGCAGATCGAACAAAGAGGCCTAGAGGTTTTACTTGCAGACAAACATAGTCCGTATTATGTGGGAATTTGTGGGGTCGTCGACGAACAACTTCACGAGTTGGTGAAGGCACAGTCGATAGTCAGCGCGCGAACAGTATAGAACTAAGCCGAATAAGAGGAACGACCTTTTTCGAGTGTTTAGAGGTACACCCAAATTTTGCATCTCCTCAATCATTTCCGTTTAATTATTTATCGAGCGTTGGGCCATTAATGCAGGGATGTTGTTGGAGTAACTCCGTATAAGTTGAAAACAAAGTGAAATAAATCAACATTTTTCGATTTTACGATGTGTTTACGATGCAGTGATGTGGTCGATAAACTTCGATCCAACATTGAATGGAAACTTATCGAAACTGTTTTGGAAACTTTTTTGGAGGACAGGAACCAATCTTCACAATTTCATTCATTAACTTCCCGATCTATCGGGTAGTTATAGCAACTTAATTATGTTTTTTTCGGTATTGAATAAACAATATGCAGTTAAATTGACCGAAACGATTTCGATAAATAAACTTCAGATTGATCATCGAATTATCAAATGGAAAGGATTGACATTATTGTTCTTGTGTCTTATAATTTTTTATCGGAAAACTATTTGTGAAGATCGAACAATACAGTGCTAGGCTGTGATGAATTTCGTGCATTTTAGTATTTTCTCATATCTCAAAGATTGAGTAATTTTTCACTAATATAACAATAATGATAATTAATATGACAATGGTGAAAGGAAATAGTTTATTAACTATGCTTAGTGCAATTAGCGTGATTACTTGTCATTGGCACTGATTATCATTATTATTAATAAACAACCGGTATAACATTTTTTAACTAAAAAGATAGTTTTAATAACGTAATTTCCCGCTTTCCCCACATCAAAGTTCGCAAAAACAAATTTCACCCAACAAAATCAAAGTTGTTGACTTCTCATCATTGAATTAACTGATGAAAGACCAAGTGTTCTCCGTAACGGACATTGATTGCAAAAAAAAAAATTATCTTTTCAATGGCTCATTAAACCCGCAAAACCGGTAAATCCCATTCGCCCAAGTGTCATCACCTATGCACGAGTGAGTACTGTTCTCCCAGTATTTACCTTGCGCTGTTAGAGAGAGAACGCTGAACAAGGAATCAGCCCGAGCGTCTGGAAAGCAGTTTCACGGTCGTACCATGCATGGACCAGTTCGAAAGTTCACATAGTAATCATTTCCGTCATTTCCTAACTGCTCTGTATCTTCTGTATTAAAGTACAGTAGAAGAAAGTACGGCATTAATACATTTATTCAAGATTTACAGTGATTGAACTTAGATACCTCACCATGATTACGAAAACAAATTATGATGCTCGCTTTCTCGGAAAATTGCATTATTATTATATGCCTTTCTCCTAACACTCGAATAATACAGTGGAATCATTATTGCAGGGAAATCATTCCCTGGATTCTGTGGAGATAAGCTATAGCTCTGTTAGTTATGAATTTCTCCTCACTATGATTGATATGAGAACAAATGAGTAGAAGACCTTTCTTGTAAGAATTGTTTTCAGCTACAGCAAAGTTCCCTCCATATGCTTCGCCAACCTCACTGCTTAAGTGAATGAGCGATCAATTAATGAGTGAACTTTTGATATTTGATTGCAGTAATTCTATCACATCACTTCTGAAATAAGAATATCTATTGCAGAGGATGGATTTCAAAGAGGTGGTGAATGTAATCTCTGATGTGGTGGTGTTTATGATACTCTCGATAATTTACATAATCGAAGCATTCCTGCGAACTCTGATACCGCGCAAGTATCAGAGGAAAATTATAAAAGGAGAAGTGGCTCTGGTGACTGGAGGAGCTGGCGGAATAGGCAGACTTATTTCCATCAAACTGGCGCAACACGGTGCGCACGTTATTATATGGGATATTAATGAGCGAGGTGGGTACTTAATTGCACTTATTTAATGCGTAGTTACGGGGATATGCATCAATGAGCCGCATCATGACCCATAGAGGTAGAGGTTTTGTTGATGATGCAAGGAAATTTTTTTTTTTCAAACGAAATTTGTAGTTAACATTATCGATAGATTTGGTGAAAGTTTGTTATTCGTACTGTGCATTTTTTTTTCTTCATTCTGGCCATTTAAATTCTTTGAATGCACTTGAGACTCTCAACTGTTGCAAAAGTTGGAGGAACTTTACAATCGCATAGTTCACAATCAATGATCCGATCTCGTTCAGTCGACGACAGATTTATGTTGCAGAGGAAATGTGTTAAGGAGAAACATTTATCTCATTTACATCATATAGCTCTTTTGCTTCCGAGTGGAAGGCTTGTTTTTGATCGATTTTGGTATTTTGGATAAGCGCAATCGGACAAGCAATTTCGGAGATATTCACCTCTTGTGAAGATCTAGTTCATTAAAAGATTGAATATTTTCCTGTAGATACACGGTAGCATGTGGTTACGGCTGTATGCCTGTCCCAAGGATAGGGAATTGCTGCGGATCCATTCGGAAGCTTGTTATCAATGGAATTGGTAGAAATAAAAAAAAGAAAGAGACTAATGACGCAAAAAGTAACGGTCGCATGCCTTCTGTCGTATAAGCTCGAATCCCTTCTTGTTTATTTGCCTACTTTGTGTAAATTCTAGAGCTTTTATGAATATAGCTACACAAGGCCGTGAACTGTAGCTTAGAATGTTCCTGATCTATACAAATCTCATGGGAATCTGTATTTTATCTGTATTAGACAAATGCAATTTTATGACAATTTGGTTTCAGGTATCCAACAAGTGGTTGAGGAGATCAGAGCAATTGGTGGAAAATGCACTGGATATACTTGTGACATCACTGACAGAAAGCAAATTTATCGAGTTGCGAAAACCGTGAAAATTGAAGTTGGAAACGTAAACGGAAATCATCATAAACTACCATTTTTTTCACTTCAAGGGTAGATGAAAATGTTAAAATGAATATGAAACTTGTCTTCTTTAGGTGACAATTGTAGTCAATAATGCGGGTTACGTCTGTGGAAAAACTTTCATGAACATTCCCGATGATGAGATAGAGAAGACTTTCAAAGTTAATATACTCGCACATTACTGGGTACGAATGTTCATATTAAATCAAAGGATGCATAAATAAACAAGTGAATCAAGTCATCGAATCATTTGTTTCTCTTACAGATAAACAAAGCTTTCTTGGAAGAAATGATGAAAGAGAATCAGGGGCACATTGTCACTATTGCTAGTGTCGCTGGACTCATGGGGACTTACAACTGCACAGATTATTCAGCGACGAAATTTGCCGCCATTGGTTACCATGAGAGTTTGTTTACAGAACTCAAAGTAATGATTAATTGAAACGAGGCGATAAAGTTTTTTGCGAAAAGAGACCTCTTTTCTCCAACTATTTCCTTTCGGGAAATATCGGATTTTCTTTTCAACCAGGAAACCCAGGAATTGCTTAGAGTTTTGAGAACAATTTGAGATTTATTGTGTAATCTTTTAGCAGGAGATATTCCAAGATTTTCAGGAGGTTTTGAAATTTCTTAGTAAGTTCTAGAAGTTTTCCTGGTTTCTCACGAAATTTTTCAGGGAACCAGAAATTTTTCTGGAAGGTTCGGAAGAATCAACACTAAAGTTATTTTATTCCTTTAATTATTAGTTACAAGAAATCTCCATAAATTTCTTGAACTTCCTATGCTTCATTTTTTGTATATAATTTAGCGCAATGATGTGTACCTCAAGACCTTACAGAATTCCGAAACTAATTAGTGAAAATCCCATTGAAATCCGTTCAATAATTCTTTTATCAAATGCGGCCGAAGAACGAGCAACTGATTTATTAGATAGGAGATTCATTGTAACTTAATCGCCTTTCTTCATATTGTTACTAAACTGTGTAATGATTTCATGAACAATAGATGCATGGATACGACGGGATCCGGACGACACTCGTATGTCCTTACTTTATCAACACAGGAATGTTTCCTGGAGTTGAACCAAGGTAATTTTGATCGTGAGAGCGCTAGGAATGTTTCCTGATTGATTTCTTAATTTTGCGATTTTTTCAAGATTGATGCCACAACTCGAGCCTGAGTATGTTGCTGAAGAGGTCGTGCAGGGGATATTGACTGATCAAATAAACGTGACGTTGCCGGTCAGTGTCAGATACTTTCTACCTCTCAAGAGGTGAGTTCTCTCCCATATTCCTAAGTAAGATATTTGACGCAGTTAAATAATCAAAATTGAGCTGGGCTGGAGTCGAATCGTAAAGTTCACCCGAGTCTAAACATTTTCTGGTTCTGATGTAATCCAACAATTTTTACCGAAGCCGCGTAAAGCCTCAGGCATAGGAAAAAAAAACAAGAAATAATGTAGAAAATACTACAAGTACAGTGGAATGGTTGATTCAGTGCAATGGAACCTGTTTTTCTACTTCTAAAATCCATATAGTGCTCATAAATTCAATGAGACCTTATGAATTTCTCTTATGCTCCAATTCATGTGACAATAACTTAAGAGAAGTTTTATATAGGTATAGCTATAGTTATAGCATAAGTATATCTATAGCTACGATTACACCTATATTTATGAATACAGTAACTCTAATATCTATACCTATTCTTATCACTATATCCACGTGTAAGTGATATTTATAGCCGTAATTATACCTAAATTAGAAGGGGAAATAGTATATTTTGATACGAGTGAGACAGAATTTCCACGAGTGTGAAGTTGGCGGCCCGAGGCGAAGCCGAATTTTCAGGTCGTGCAATTGCACGACCCTCGGCCCTCGGCTTCGTCTTGGGCTGCCACACTCGTGCAAATTCCCGTCTCATATGTGTCGAACAATAGGGGAGCATGGGGCAAAATGAAACAGTGGGAAAATCTCGTCATCTAAAGGAGATAGGACATTTTTGAAGAGGACCTTTTTTGTAGCTTATAAAATTCTCTACAAAAAAGGTTTCCATGAAAATCGTTCTATCTCCCTTAGATCACAAGCTTTTCTTGCTGTTTCATTTTCCCCCGTGTTTCATTTTGCCCCACCGTCCCCTATGTTTTGACAGCGATATTACGGTCAGCAACTGGCCGAACTGTACCTTTTTCCTTTACGAGTAAACAAAAAGGCACTTTTCAGTACAAAGTGAACGTAGCAGCAGTATCAAATTAGTATATTTCGTAACGAGTGCAAAAAAGTGTTTTTTGGCAAGTGGGAGGTTTATATCACGAGCCGAAGGCGAGTGATATAATCCCAAGAGCTAAAAAACATTTTTTCACGAGTTACGAACAATATTTTTCATCACAATGTGGCGGAAATTGGACCTTTAGGCACGCGGAGCGTGCCGAAAAGTTCACTTTTCGTCACAGCGTGATGAAAAATTTTTTTCGTCATTCCGGCCGTAAGGTAGCGCTTTACGAACGCTACGCGTTTCTAGCTATTGAATTTTTTCATGCGTGGCTGATCTCGCCTTGTGACTCTCGTATTGTCAATATGATGTTCGTTTGCATGTATCATCTTCAAATATTATTTCTCCACTATTGCTGACAATAAACTATTTCTAGATAGATTTCTGATAGTAGGGGTGAACTTATCCAACACCCCCCTTCAACCATCGTTTTCGCCCCTTCGCCCACCGCCCCCTTTACATTCGACCCTTATGATTTCTGATCCTTAAGACTTCTAAGCCTTGAATTGAAAAATGACAAACTAGACCTGTAGAATTTTCAAATGGAAGCGATGAGAGACAAATAGGATTTTCAATAGAATGGCGTAGTGAATGCGTGGGGTTATTCCGTTATTCTAAGTCTTTTTACGTGTCATGATTAAATCTCATTTGATCAATTACTGAACGTTTCATCCTATCCATACTCGATGAAAAGATAATCCTCCCCTATAGTCGATGGAACGTGATTGGAATCGAAAATGTGTTCAAAAATAACCTCCAGTGAGGCGCCAAATTCAATGCAAAAGGCGATTCGATTACGCAACTTTGAATTGGTGATGTCAACTGAAATTTATACAAAGATTTCTACGTTAAACTACCGGTTCAAGGAATTCATCCAAGTTGATGACCTAATACACGACATTGACATTAAAAATGTCGCGAAATGAGTGTGGTTTTTTGCAATCGGTCACATTACCGGTTTCCAGAGTTTGGAACTTCAAACCTAAACCTCCTGGCACGATTAATGAACCCTAGTGAATACCAAATCATCACCGCTTCCCTAGTAAAGTGCCTATACCTATAACATTGAATGTCGTGCCCTAACTCACGCCGCGATGTTTTTGCGCCATGAAATTTCTACTAGGGTTTTATGGTATTGGAAACGTCTGTAACATTTATGGATATTTATTCAAAAGTGCAAGCACGTTGAATTTTTTTGTTGACTGCCAGAGTTATCTCCTTCATGTTCCCCTATAGAACAATCCGTGACCGTGACGCTGGTCCTTTCTCTGCTTTTCACGCTAATGTCTCTCTTCTTGTTTGAAGAACCTCTTATGTTTTACACTCATTCAAAAGCCTATTCAATAAGTTTCGAATTGACACGTAAATCTTTCCATTCTGATCATTTTTCATTGCAGACTAATGGAGTCAAAATCCCAGCATCTCTATTTATAAATAAAGATATCAAAAATTGAGCTGCATCACAAACGTTCCACTTTCTTCCACTCTCCCTTAATTTTCCTCAATCTTTAGAAATGTTGGTTTTCTTAAAAATTGCAGAATTTTTTTCGAAAAGAAAAAAAATCAGTTTTTGCATAATGCATAAACATCCTTTTTTTCGAAACTTGCTTTTCCGAAAGTTACTCAACAGACCATCGTTGCATCTGTTTCAATCATCCTTCAGCCCGATGGCTTGACGCAGTGGGTAAGTTCGTTGCCTCACATGCGAAAGGTTCCGAGTTCAAATCCCGGCCGGATAGAATGGTGCGATCTAACCATTTAAAGTCTTGATCATCATCGCAGTATACCCTAACCGGGTCGAAGCGATGTAAAATAACGATAAAAAAAATCATACTTGAAAAAATTTGATCGACTGGCCTATTGTTCGATAATGAAAATTGTAGATTTGTATTGTATGTTCCTGAGATGTAGTTTTGCATAAGAATTTATACATATACGCGGGTTCATGGTCACAGAGGTTCAAAAATTTCATCGAAGCAAATGGACAAAATTTCCTCAAATTTTTAATAGACATGAAATAATCAATTCATGAAATAATTCTTAAGATATGCATAATCTGATGAAATCAATGTCTGACAAGTACTCAATAATGAGTCCCTTTATACTCCGTTCTATACTAAATGTATTTCATTATTTATAAAACACCACTGAGCAGTTTACTAAATAATTAACAGAGACAACTACATCCATATAGAAATTGTATGTGAGTATCTCCTCGTTTTTCTTTTTATTCTAGTTGGCTTCCTGCTAAAGTTTCATGGGCTCTGATGTACAACCTTTTGAAAGGCCCCCAAACAATGATGATGCTCAACAAACACGAAAATAATAATATAAATGTTGTTAAAAAATTAGATTACGAGGATACAAGGCAAAATCCGTGTTATGAACAATTCACAGAATTTGACCATATGTCATCAGCACCTGCCATGTAAATGACTCTTTCTTTGTAAGACTAATTGTATATTTCGTTTGAATATATCAGTTTATAAGATTTATGTTTAGAAATTGTTTACATCTGTTTTATCAATACAGTTTATTCTCTATTTGTCACTTATTACTTTCATCTGGTGAGGTTGGAGTACTCACTCATAAAAGATCGTAGAAATAATTTAGGCCCTGACCCAGCTCCCAGATTGATAAACCTGTTCCAAGCTCCCTAGCGAGGTCAATTCGTTGCTGTAGGGAGTATAAAGTGGGGTAGAAAATAAATCCACTTCCTGGAGTTCTGAAACAATTGGGAAATGAACAAAAATGATTGAATAATTTTCGATTTTTACTTTCATAACCATTCTGTTCTTAAATTTTCTGAGGAACGAAAAACTTTCAAAAAGAGTCTTACTTTGCTTCAAAGAAGTGCTCTTTACTCCTATCATCCCACTGGATTTTTCCCTTATAAGATTCAAGGATTTTCAGGTACTGAGAACCAAGAATAGGTCCCCCACCTTCTGGCGTATAATTATTTCCATAGAAATTCAATCCCATGAGAATCTGTGATCTCTTAGGATCGTCATCATCAGGGACTAATTTTTCTACGCACTCTCTGACCCACTCCAGAGGAGCATTGGGTCCGGGACGTTGAACGTTTGAGAAGTCATATGTCATCAAGGAAAAATAGTCAACATGAGGCGCTAGTTCCTCGAAGTACGCTTGAGAAAATATTTGAGCTTCCGGACTGCAACAAAAATTCCCAGCATTACCTCAAAATGAAGGATTTTTTTTAACGAATGATCATAGTAGTTAATGGATGAAGAACGAACAGGTAAGTTGAATAAAAGTCTACAGACTATTCAGTGAGTACCTTCGGCAGGAAGAGACAGAGAAACATGAATGTAGAAAATTTAACACTCCGTTGATTCGTGCAAAAGTTACGAACGCCGTTGATCGCGCCGTAAGCGCCGTGCCGCACCAGCATAAATCGACATAATTATAAATTTGAAAGATCTAGGAAAAGTATGAAAATAAATCAAGAGTGATCTAGATCGTACATTTGAAGAAGTGAGATTTTATTAGGTTCAGTGTTACCCTTAATTATATATTCAAGCTCAAAGTAATACACGGTACACAGCTCGGAGTTTCGGCATAAAAATTTGGAAATCTAACTACTTATGATATTTTTGGCTGATATTGTCATTGATAGGGCTTCTGGACACTTCAAAATGAGATGTCAAATTTTGTCAAATTTTTCGGAGGCTTTACTGTAGTCTTATTTAAAAAATCGGAAAAAGTGCAGCGCTCCGCTCATAGCGCGACTAACGGAGTTAGTAATAATATACGCAAAAGGGAATTTCACATTTTCTTCCAAACCTAGGGTGAACAGACCAATTGCTAGACGTTTAAGGAAAATTCGAGTTTCGTGGTAGGATCGAAAATAAAAGAATTACCTAAACGGGGACATGATGGCTTCAATACCTTCAAGAATATTGTAATTAGCAGAACGAAATTATTTGAAGTGAGAATAACAAAACAAAGAATAGCTAAATTAAGAAATAGTTGAATGCAGCCGAAACCCCTAATTTCTGGACGACTGGGCCATATTTTTTTTAATTTATTAAATGTCGATCAATAGACAAAATAATTGATCACATGATTATTCACGACTAATATTATTGAAAGGTGGAATAATCAGTACAATTTTCATTTTATTTATGGAATGTTTTATTTATGCAAGTTGAAATCGTCCAGAAATTAACCCCCGTCCAGAAATTGACCTGTCTACCCTACTCTTATTCTTCACCAATTTACTACAGCATCATCCAGAAAAAGGAAAAAGGGGTACCCTCGTGCCGGTGGAATCGCCACAATCACTTCCAAATTTTTGCTCTTGAGTCTTTTACCCAGAGACTTTATTAAATTAACTACAACTTTAGTTTTGACTCCTGTGAAAACGAACTGGTTCCAAATCTCTAATACGTATCCTTGAAATTGGAATGCTTTAGCTGTCTCGGAAAGTACAGACACTAGCTGAGTTTTCCTCTGATTGTCGTTGTTAAGTGTTGATATCTCCTCAGGGGTCCACTCTTCGAATAAAACCCTTGGTAAAATTCTTACAGTGTGATTTCCATCATTCAAAGCTCTGATTTCTTTCAACCATTTTTTCTGAACATCGTGAGTCGCCACTTGGAATTTTTTAACATTGCCTCGAGGTAGACTTAACCAGACAGGCGAGACTGATGTCAATTTTCCGTGGAATGTTTTTGCTAATTCTGCACCCTCTGCGTTCCACTACGATTATCAATTATTTGTAATTAAGTGGTAAAGTAGAGAAAGTCAATTAAACTTCAGGAGAGGTGTGTTCGGTCAATATCTTCGAATCGAACAGGCAAATTTTCAGATTGCACCTCTATTGATCACAGGACAATAAAAAGCTTAAAATTTAGTATTAAAAAGCCACTTATTTGAAGTGAAAAGAGGCCTCAAATGAAGAATTTTTATTTTTGCTTCCGAATGGAAGCATTGTAATCGTTCTAATTTAAGATTTGAATTGTTTGTGTTATATTGACCCATTATGATCCAAAAAGTCCGAAAATTGAATTTTTAGACCGTGCCCATACGTATGTGTGTAATTTAATTCATCGATTAGTTTCTTTAATTGTTGAATTTTTTCGACAATCGGTTGTCCCACGATAACTAAAAAAATCATAGAGAACTGTAAATTTCAGTTCCATTTTTCCCTGAAAATAAATAGAGAACCAGGAAATTCCGGTAAATATATTCTGGAATTTTCAGGGCAATGACACTGAATGCGATTTAGGGGAGGAAAAATCATGAAATTCCAGATTTTACTGACAATTCTATGTAATTTGGCACTGAATATTCATATTAGGTTGGAAATTCAGATAAATTAAGGAATGCTCGTCTTTATGCTGCTTAAAATTCTGGGATTTTACTGAATTTTCAGTGAAACCTGAAATTTCATGGACAGTTGTCTAATAATTGTCAGAATGGTGATACTGAATGCGATGTAGGGGAAAAAAAATCATGAAATTCCAGATTTTACTGACAATTCTATGTAATTTGGCACTGAATATTCATATTAGGTTGGAAATTCAGATAAATTAAGGAATGCTCGTCTTTATGCTGCTTAAAATTCTGGGATTTTACTGAATTTTCAGTGAAACCTGAAATTTCATGATTTTTTTTCCCCTACATCGCATTCAGTATCACCATTCTGACAATTATTAGACAACTGTCCATGAAATTTCGAATTTCCACGAATTTTTTTTTCGAAGTATTAAGTAAAAATTGCCGAGCACTAGTAAGTCTTCTAATTCGTAGGAAAAATCTACTTCCAATAAGTGAACATTCCTAATATTTCGAGGATTTTTTGCTCCATTAGTTTCAGTATGATAAAGTTCTAACCTTCAGAGATTTTTACTGGAAACTAAAAATTTTTTTTCATGCACTAAGAATCAACTTTTGGTTCCTCTGAGGATAATTACCGGTGTTATGTACCCCAACACTTCACCATTGAATTGTCTCAGCTTAGTATCCTTGTAATAAAGTCCAGACTCACGTAAGATATCAATGGGTTTCGGCTCTTGGACCACAAGACCTCGATTAAAGACATTTTGATCCACTGGACCTTTCTAATCCCCCATGAAATAATTCAAATCATTTCATAATACAAACAATATCTGCGATTGAATTTCAATTTCATCTCAGAACGTCAAATACCATCTGTTAGAAATCGATCAATGAAACAATACCTTACTTTCCACTTTCCCCTTGTCTCGTCTGTGTTTGTCCGTTGGCGGAGATAATGTGCAGGTTGCTGTACTCACCAACAGCCACAGGCTAATTTTCAATATCCATTCGTTCATAATTTCATTAATAAAAATTCAATAATAAACACCGGTACTATAAGTACTACACTTGTTGTTGCTTTATTTTATCAGTGCCTTGCTGTCAGCCGGTGGCGCACTCCTGTTTCCATGTAACTGCAATTTAACCTAGAAAATTGATTTTTCAGTTTTTTTTAAATATCTAATTAAATTTTTCTACTTAATTTCCAAGATATCCATCTTCAAATTATTTTTATTACGTTTTCTATCCAATTTCTGACGTTTAAATTGTCAACCTGGACTTTTGATCGCTTTGAAAATACGCCTTGAATGCCAGGTGTCAAAAAAAGTGTCATATTTTCCTCTCAGTTGGAAGAGATCTCCTTCCTACACAAGGACGTTTTGTCAATGACCACAGACAGCATGACAAATTACGTTTTTCTCTGCCAATGTAGTCATCGAAAATAGTAATAATGAGTAATTAAAAAAATACTACGACGAAGTTGCACAACAGTCCGTGAATCGTTTATTTATTCACATGACTCGGGGTCAATTTTAACCACTTGGTGTTGCGTTTTTTAAATGTCATCAGGGATCAATTTTGGATTAAATTAATTAGTGCAATATAGTTCATATTTATCGTTAATCGATTAATTCATTGATCAATTGAAATTAACATTCCACGATGGCTGGGAATACTGATGTGTACGATGATTTGTATCTGTAAGTAATCGAATCTAAATTTTTAATGTAATTTTGTTTTGGAAATTCATTCACTTCCATGGAAATATATAAAACTGTTCATTGATTTGAAATATTCACTGCATTCAGGTACACAACAAACGAAAAATTTTATGTCGAAGCAGTAGGCACAAAAGTGTTGCTGACAGTAGACAGATTGAATCAACATATCTTTACTCAAGGTAAATCTAAAATGATTGAATTATCGATTGAAGAAAGGCAAATCATGGAGTGAAATCGATTGAGATAATAATTGTGCATTTGTTTTCATACATTGGGAGCAGTTGGAACAGCTAGTCAAATTCCCCAAACAGCGAGTAGGCGCAAGATATGGGGGATAGTAGGAACGATTCGCCTGCTAGCTTGCAGATACTTCATAGTCATCACTGATGCCGAGCAAATTGGTACCATCGCTGGCCAGCAGGTCTTCAAGGCGATCACTACTGAAGTTATACCCTATTCCAGATCAGATTTGCATTTGAGTGAAAAACAAATTCAGAATAATACGACCTACGTGGAGATGATCAAGACTGTCTTGAATACACCGTATTTTTACTTCAGTTATACGTATGATCTTAGTCACTCAATGCAGAGGCTGCATAATACGCCACCGGAATTTCTTCAGGTACGATCTGGAAGGAATTGAATCAATTATTGCAGTAGGAAATAACATAAATTTGGAAAATTACAAAAAAAAGTTCTAGTTTCTCTTAAATAGAAATTTTCCTTGCCCAAAAAATCCAGTAAATAAGTGGAATATTCACTTATATTCAGAATATTTTCTCTCAAAATCAGTGCAAATATTCGAATTCTCAGTAATTTTCATTAAAATTTTCATTTAAAGCCTGTAGTCATGGTATTAAGGTCATTTCAAGTAAATTTCGTTGGGAGTTCAACTATAGAAATATACTCAGAAAGTTGGTAGTGGAATTGTGCCAATATCTTATTTTCTCCTAATTTCTCAGATGCCGCTTCACGAACGTGCAGACTCTCGCTTCATTTGGAACGCTTACCTCCTCGAGGACCTATCATCCCGCCCAGAACACTCGAAATTCTGTTTGCCAATAATTCACGGATTTATATCCCTAAACAGCGTTGTAGTGAACGGTATATCCTTCAATTGGGGAATAATATCTCGTCGCAGTGTCCATCGAGCGGGCACTCGGCTCTTCTCCCGTGGAATAGATGCCAATGGTAATGTCTCGAACTACGTAGAAACAGAACAAATAATTGAAGTAAATGGAGATCGTAGTTCCTTCGTCCAAACCCGAGGTTCAATTCCTCTGTTCTGGCAGCAGGCGCCCAATCTAAAGTACAAACCAAAACCTCAGCTGAGCTCCCACGAAAACCACCAGGTAGCTGCCTCCAGACACCTCGATACCCAGATCTTTCATTATGGAAAACAAATCCTCGTAAATTTGATAGACCATCACGGAGCTGAGGATGTTCTTGAGAAAGCCTTCAGGGACATTGTGGCGAGAATAGCTAATCAAAATGTGAGGTACGAGGCATTTGATTTTCATGCTGAGTGCAGACACATGAGGTGGGACCGACTCAACATTCTGATGGACAGATTAGCACACGATCAAGAGCAAATGGGGTATTTCCTCCTGTCCAGGGACGGAGCTTTGCTCTCGGTGCAGGATGGAGTGTTTAGGACAAATTGCATTGATTGTCTCGACAGGACAAACGTTGTGCAAAGCATGTTGGCTAAAAGAGCGTTGGCTGATGCCCTCGGGAAGATGGGGATTCTGAGGAGGCTGGAGGACCATCCGAGTTTCGAACAACTGTTCAAACACGTCTGGGCAGACAACGCTGATATCATTAGTACTCAGTATTCAGGTACTGGAGCTCTGAAAACTGATTTTACGAGGACTGGAAAGAGGACTAAGATTGGAGCACTGAGGGATGGGATTAACTCGATGACGAGATATTATAAGAACAATTTTGCTGATGGATATCGTCAGGTAACTACCATCTTTGTTGATAACAAATAGTTGAAGTTGAAACAAATAATTAATAAATTTTATTTGAATGCTCCAGGATGCCATCGATTTATTCCTGGGAAGATACATCATACAAGATGGTGAATGCATGACTCTAAAATGTCCATTGGAATTTGAAAGGAATTGGCGATATGCTACATTTCCTCTGGTTCTTCTGATAGCATCTTCAATGCTCATTGCCCACATCATACTGCCATCCAATTATACCACAGACGTTCTCCTCTACATGCTCTTCTGGGGCGCCATGGTGGCAGGCACATTCGCAACAATTATCCATCATGGTAAACAGTATGTCGATAAACCAAAATTGTTATAGTCATCAATGCTTTCTCTATCCTGATTATTATTGTGACAAAGATTTCATTAATTACAATGAGTTCAATTGGAACGGTATTTGAAGGGTATTCATGTATGCGTTTGTTGAATTTGACAGACGGTGTAGAATAAATAAAATGTATTTAAATTTAGTATGAATGGGGTGTTTTTTTATTCCAATACTCAGAATTACATGTAAATCAGAGGCAGACAACAGAAAATGAATTCCCATATTTCATGTTGAATATTTTGAAAGTGATGCTGCTACAGTAGACAAAAAATCATTCAACAGTGAGTCAGCTGAAAGTATTAAGGCTAGAACATGCACATTTCGGGCCTTTTTTATGTATAAATTCACAAATCTTTTCATGTTGAACATCTTAACTTGAAATTGTTTTTTTATCATTTCTGAAGTTGGTAGATCGTTAGGGAAATGTTACAATATCACGTACGAGGAAATCTAATAGAGAAGCATTCACTAAAATGCTATTCATCTTCTATTGGTTTTTCGCTGATTTTATTTAAAAATCTCACTTTTTTTCAACAAAAATTTTCGGAAGGGAATATTATATAGAAAAAAATCAATAGATTTCAATCTTTCTGTGCTACTTATTCGATTGAGATTGTTTTTATAAGAACTCTTTCTTTGCTGGATTTTTCCAATGGAAGAAAAAAATGCAGTGAAAAAAACTTGAAAAATTCTTATCGAAGAATTTCTATAGAAAATATGTTCACAGAATAAATTAAGGTTTAATCCTCTAGAAGTGCCTCTTAATAAATAAAGTGATAAATTAATAGAAATCCATCGAGTTATTTTATTCCATATCCCAATACGGATGATTCTGAGTCATCTGAGACTAATTTTTTAAGACAATTTTTTTAACTTTTTCAGGAGATTAGGAAATTTTTTGAAAATTTGTAACAAAAGGTCGTATAGACACATTTTCAGGAAACAGTAAATCTTTGGGTTTCAAGTGATTCTGAGTCATAGCTAAGTAGAGAATTTCTCACGTTTTCAAAGAGGCACCAAACGGATAGAGTTGCGTTCTTGCGTTAGTCGTCGCTTTCTTTCTCTGTCGAACACACAGACTTTATCCAATATTCCCCCACTCTGCAATCCACTCCCGTATCTATTCGACGAAGAGAGAAAGCGGCGACAAACGGCGGTCCTTTTCTCTTTCCTGCCGCCCGCACCACTCACTCCTGCAGTCTACAGTCTCATACGTCTATGGATAACCTCCGCAAATTCCCCTACTCCCGAATGACGTCTCCCTCACTGACATCGGATTTTTTACCGCTATGCAAAACCGGGCTTTGTTGAACGTAAAGTGTATTTTCTATCGTATCACCCGGTCATGCAGTTGAAATGAATAAAATTAAACCCAAGTAATTCCAAATTATCGCAGTCTTCCGTAAACTACCAAAAATGTGGTAAGAATCAACTTGTCAGATATATTTACCTTTGCATTATTTGTTTACAAACACATTGAGGATAACCTCGAAACCCTTGACATTTCGGAGCCAGATGAATAAAGAACAATTAGAATCGCGGAATCATCGATGAACGAATGAAAACCTTCAATTCATGAACGATTTCAAATGAGTGATGAATTTTTTCAAATAAAATTTTAGATATAAATCTATGCAATGGCAAGATGGTCGACAGTACTGTCAGGGGTATTTCTAGCCCTATCCATGGTTTTATCCCTTGGAAAATTGTTAATGCTGGCTGCTAATGGCAAAAATGGAGAACTCACCGAGGCTGACCAGTGGCTCGCCGAAATTGGCCTCTCCCAATACATTCCATTGTTCCAAAAAATGGGTGAGTAATAACAAATTATCAGAGTTGATCCGGTCAAAATACGCAAACAATAAAGATCTGCGAGATTGAATTTGTCTTGTATTCTCATTTGGGCGGTAGCAACGATATGTCATCGTAAAAAACCTATGGCCACGAAATAGAGTCATCCGCTGGCATTTATACACTCACAGGCGTTTTGGCCGTGCTCCAGCTCTTATTTCACAGGCCATAAACCTAACTGTCTATAACGTATCATCAATTACGATTGCATAGCGTGGAAATAGATATATTTCAAGTGTAGATTAATCGGTATTCGGGACATCGTTGGATGAACGAAAAAATTTTCATTAAAAATTCAAACATTACATAGTTGAATAATCGACGATAATTTATATAAATGAGTTCGTTCTGCTCCGTTCTTTTGTGAATTAATTAAAATCCACTGGAAAATTGCGCGGAATCGATGGCTATCACATTTAATGAAATTCGTCTGTAATCAAATTCATTACATTTGGACGCAAAGTTTTGTTGAATGTATGAAAGCCAAGTAGATTAACCAATCTACATGAATATGAATTGAATGATATTTTCTGTCCCAGATTTTTTTCGCAACTCTAGTGAATTTAATTTGTTCAGCTCGATTTGCATGATATTAAAAAAATTCGGGTTAAAGGATAAAAGATATAGCGGTGATAAAATTTTGCGCTTGCGCGCAAACACCAATATCCGGGTGTCGTTATTGGCTGGACGTGTGCAGCATCCCTTCCTCCTTTTTTCCGATGTCCACTTTGCATTTTGCAACTGAAATTCGATTGTTAAAAATATGCATTGGCATATTCTATGTTATTTCATGTCTATTCAATGAATAATTTAGTATGGGAATTGTTTGGAAAGCGTTAGAGGTGGATTGAGTGATGCTTCAGAGAATGTAAACCATTGGCCAATAAAGGTGGTTACTGAGAGCCTATGTAGATGACCCTCGAAACCCGGATAATGTATACACGATGAGCACTCATTCAACTTCTATCTTACTCTGCTCCCGTGTTTCTCTAGGTTGAAAGTGCTGAAGAAAATAAAGACAGCAATTTCCCTTTTCATCCTTTGTGTACCAGCGTCATTGTGCACTTCTTTTCGTCCTGTTAATTGGCACCAAGTGGCCTCTTTGTTTTGGTAAAAAGGGAAAGACAGTAATACGGTGTACTACAACTTCTTACTAAGACGATAGTCGATTTTCATTTTTTTAACGCTTATTTATATGTTTTTTGAGTGATTGGCGACTGGTCTTTATTGGATATCTTTTTTCTGTCATTCGCTAGCGCAAAGTCTGATTTTAAATTGTTTTAATTAAAAATGGGGGAGGGGCTGATTAAGCTTTGCAGATCTTTCAAGCAAATTATCTGCATTTTAGATAATTTTTTTCATATCTTCGAGCCGAAATTTGAGGAAAAAAACGGCTGTAACACTGTTCAATTATATAAAATTCTCGAAACCGCTCGGCTGAGGTGTAATCAGGTCAACTGACAGATCAGATCGATTGATAACAGTCTGAAAAATATTCATAGATCGGCATCAATCATTACTTTAGTAACATTATGAGAAGTTGCATCTTACAATAATCAAGTTTTTACTCATCTTTATTGAAATTAAACAAATAATATAATAATTGATAATTTAAATTTGTCAATTATTGGTTGATAAAATAATTCGGAATTTGAATATTTAAATTGATGGTTAATATTCAAACTGATGATTAATTTAATAATCAAAAAATTGGTGAGTAATAATAGTGGATTACACGGCACATCAATTCAGTATAATCATTTCCAACTGACCTCATTAAAACTAAGGCAAGTTGTTTTCAACTATTTCTGCACTGCCTAAAGCCCTTAAAATCGATTTTCTCTAAAATCCATGCAACTGCCGGAACACATGGAGAAATCATCAAAATAGTGATAAAACGTTATAGGCCGATTTTTCACATTCTGTTTAACGGAAAATCATTTGAATAAAGAGTAATATCAAGAGAAAACAGGCGAAATTTCCTCCTGGAATCATCTATTACGGAAAGAAATGTGCAGTTTCCACAAATTCAAAATACCACGCATTACACTTCCCAATGCCTTATGTAAATGACTTTGGAGTTGGAAAAAATATAAATATAATGCTCCACTAGGTGTGAGTGTTTTTAAACCAAGAAGTTCTCACTTCCTCGTGAAGTGTTCATGCTGAAGTCATGAATATTTCATCGACTTCGTACATGGCTTGACTTATTCTACAGAATTTTAGTCCCAAGGAATACATCCTCAAGAGATGATATATCTGCCTCAAGACATAGTTTATGTCTTGTAATATTCCATAGTTTTGTAATATTAGGTAAGTTTTTCTATCACTGTGCAAAATATAAATAACAAAATCAAAGGACGCGGAATGAAAAATTTTCTCCCACAAATTCAAAGTTCAACGCATTACCCTTCCCGCTGCCCTATGGAAATGATTTTGAAGTTGAAAAAACTATGCAGTCAGTTTTGCACTTATCTCCTCTTAATGAATCGATGGCTCCATTATTCACTCCACAATTACGCATAATTAAACCGCGTCTCAACTACCTTGCCACCTATCCCAGATTGATTTACACTGGCAATAACACTGGGAGTGCCCCATAAATAGAAGCACTGGATAAGACCCCAATGCGTGCAAAGCAGCATCGAATCAATACCATGATTATAATCAGAATTAACAATTTTCCTGTACTCATAAAGAAAGGACATAAAATGTTGCCATAGCAACGTAAACTGTAGAGTATTTTGGGTGAAGATAAATTTCTGATATTTGCAAAAATTCAGGACGACGAAGTGGGCGAGGAAGACTCTTATGAGATAAGAAATGGGTGGCTGGAGGGGTATGGGCATTTCAACCCAAGTGGAACAGATACACGACACGTGAGGGCACATTTCCACGCGGAGCATCGTGTCTGCTGGTCGACTGGATGGTTGTTGATGTGGTGGTGGGTGTTATCGGAGAGAGTATACACTGTATGTAGGTGAAGAGCGTGGGGGCCGGGGGGAGGGGGTCGTAAGGGGCTTTGGTGGGGTTGGCAGCGGCGTTTTTGGGTGGTAGGAGGCAAGGGTTGGTCTCTCCGTGTAATCGTATTGTACGCAGTCGACTGGCGTGACTCAACACGGCCGGATCGTCGCGCATACCCTGATCCCCTCTTTTTTCGAATTTTTATTCGGCCTCTGTTAAAGGATTTATCTTATTTTCCAATAATTCGCCATTAATTTACGTCGCAAAAAGTTGTTCATTTATTTCGTCAGGCTGAAAAATTTGTCATATTTTTTTTCAAGAGACGTGGGGGGGTATAATGCAAGGGCCCAGAGGGCGAATCCGTGACTGCACGGTCAGGCACGATTTTAACCGCTCGGTTAAAGCCCACGGAAACGTGAAAATCCCCACCACCACGGAACTCTGACATAATCCTTCGGGTTTTCGCCAAGATTATTAATGATTCCGCTGTTATTATCAATTATTAATCGTTGAATTAAAGTTGATCGGTTTTTTACTAAATTAAGAACAGAGGCCTTGCTAGATACTTTCGGAGTTCAAACAATATGTAAATTGTAAAATTGTAGTATAAAGTTTTACGCGCGTAATGCAGTGCATGGAAACCTCTTTGTGCCTGCGGAGATTACGGTTCAGTTAATTGTCTTGGGTCCTTTGCGTTCTTTTTCCGGTTTTTTTTAGTTTTGGTGAGGACGCGTTGTTTCATTGCGAAGCGTTTGAATTTTTAAGGAGATTCCTGTCAACCCTCCGCTTACTTGATTACCCGGTTTTTGCGGCCTCACGGGGTTTGAGAGGGTAGCCTCGAGAAGTCTACTCTGTGATGAAGGTAACATCATCGTAGTATTAACTATTTCAATTAGAGGAAATAAAATATCTTCAAGATGACAGTTTAAAAAAAAGATTCTTTCAATCATGATGTAGACATTAATTTTAATTGCAGTGATTGGATCGGTCCATAAATAGCAATTTTTGTCAGAAGGCCGAAAAAAAATTTTCTGACGAGTGTGAGGGTTGCAGACCGAGGCGACGCCGAGTAATGCCATTACACGAGTCAGAAAAGTTGTTTTCGGCCGAATGACGAACATAATTTTTCTTTACAATGTCCGTAGACGTATTACGGACAGTGTGATGAAATACATTGTTCATATTATCATGATTCATGAGATTTAATTTAGCATTTACTCTGAGTGAAAGAGCGATCTAACACAAAGGCATTTGATCAATTCATCGAATTCATTCAATAAGTTTCAAACAAGAAGTCGATGCTCTTCGCACCGTTCAATACTGTGTTGAAGGAAAAATTAATATTTTTTGGAACGCGATGATATTCGGGAAACCACGAGGAAAGTGAAATAAAAAGTTGATAAAAATAAAAAGTAAATAATTCCTTAAAGAGATAATTTCCTTAAGGAATAAGGAATAAAGAAATTTCTTCGAATTCATTGCAATTGAGGGCAAGTGATGGTCATATCATTGAGAGAAAAAACATTTTCGGAAGGATTTGTGGGGTTGTGGCAATCCAAACGTTTTTTGGCGGGTGATCTTTTTATCGCAAGGACTGTCGATTTCGAGAGGAGCATAACTGAGTTGGCGTCAAGTCCATGCATTCTTAACACCCTCGCGAATCATCCTCAGTGGCATGAGCGACGGTTAAAAAAATTATTATTTTTGACGTCAGAACAAGGATTTGGATCCAAGCAACTTTTGACCGATCTTTGACGTGGTGATAAATTGGGGAAGGGAAGAGAGACGAAAGTTGTGAGAGAGTTCTCCTGTGATATAATTGTTCGAGATGGAAATTCGGGGAAAACATTGTTTTCTTTCCAATGTTTTGTTTTTGACAATCAGTAAAAGCGTATTATTCTATTACAACGTTACAGGAGATTTCTGTGATGCGCGATTATGCATTACGACAAACCTGAACGAGTTGTTCACGAGATTGTTCGTTCTTGTCATAAAAACCTCCGCGCCAATCCCTGACCTATTCTTGTCCCAACCGAGAATAAGCTTGTGGCAAGATTTTTTTCGCTTCTAGAAAATCGTTTTTTTCTCTCAGTGATGTCATAAATATTTGAACGTTTCCTTTTGCATGACTGCGGTATTCAAAGAGAGGAAAAAAATAGTTTCCCGAAATATATCTGTAATTTTTAGGAATTGATGCTTTATTTTTATATATCTATCTCTAATTTCTACGGATTTTGAACATTAACTAGAATTACCCTAGAATTAACTCCAGGGATTCAATGACTGAAGTTAAGGGCAAAAACTCCTAAGATTGAGAGTTATATCACTAGAAATCAGTGATTAAATGACTTGTCTTTAGGATCTCTACTCGTTAAATTTTAGAGTGCCATTAATCCGTGACAAATAAAACTCTTTTCTCTCTGTGCATTCAGTACGAAAGTCTTCAACTCATCATCTACTGGGTCAGAGTTTTTTGTATTTTTAGTCAGTTTCTCATCTCCGTATTCAAGAAAAACGATTTTTTGAATCTAGAAATTCTCTCCTCATCGTGAAGTGTTCATGTTCACGTCATGAATATTTCACCGAATTCGTACATGCCATGACTTACTCTACAGAATTTTGGTCTCAAGCAATCCGTCCTCAAGAGATGAGATACTTGGCTCAAGAAATTGGTTTTGTGACATTGAAACAGTTTTGCATCTGCATAAAAATTGAACATCTGTCATGAGAAATAAAGATTTTAGCAGAAAATGACACGTGTGCTTTTCCAAAGCTGAGGATATTTTTCATTGAAATCGCCGTTTGAAAATTTCGGAATGTACCTAAAAGAAAAGGTTGCGGAATGAAATGTTTTGTATGTGAACAGAAATTGAACATCTGTCATGAGAAATGAAGATTTTTTCGTGCTGACTTTCACTTTTCCTCGTCCGGGGATTGGAATTGGCCCTCCCCAAACTCGTAAAAGTGAAAATCATTACGGAAATATATCGTTCACGGCTAGTGCCATGGGGTTTTTGACTCGCGTGGAGTTGGCGTCTGAGCCGAAGGCAAGGACTGGCCAACCACCCGAGTAAAAAATCCCATGGCACTCGCCCTAAAATATACTATTAGCAGAAAATGACACGTGTACTTTGTCAAAACTGAGGATATTTTTCATTGAAATCCCCGCTTCAAAAGTTCCACTGAACGCAAATTCCTCATTACTGAGTTAATCCTCCAATCAATATGATAAATTGCAATAAATTCTAAAGCGAATTCGATGGAATCAATGACAAATTGTTATTAATGTGAATTCAGGACATCTGCTGTCTTCCGGACGCAATAAACCAAAAGTTGAATAGTCCCTATCTATTTTCCTTCGCTAGCTACATGTTTATTTGTCTCACCCATTCCATCATTGTCCAATTTCCAAAATCCACTCACAGAGAAGTTAGAGATCAAGGCCTTAATATACGTCATATAGTTCTCGATCTTCGAGCTGTTGGGGTAAAGTTCTGCCGGATGATGCGATCGCGATCAAAACTTCACCGATGAAAACTTTTCGAGGTAAAGTAATGCTCTCCGCTTGTAAGTTCAACTATACATATATGCCAGTGGTTGTGTACACGCTCTCACTTCGAGTCTGGCTTATTCCCCCTGCATTGCGGATATCCGTCGGAATGTTTTGCATTTAATGGACGAATACGATATATTTTATTGCCAAAATATATTTCACGAGCGTGTGACCATTCGCAATTGGTGAATTACTTTGCTCGATTGTGTTTTTTCCTCCGTTTTAACGCATGTGATGACACCTATCAATCTTTCAAATTTCAATTTATTTTAATTAAATGATACACGTATGCATTATTGCGAGCAGAGCTGATTAACATGCAGCTGCAAACGCAATTCGATTGATGCTCCCTTTGCGAAAATCGATCGCGATAAAAGCAAATGCACAATGGCCTAGAATTCATCGACTCCCGTGGAGTTCACAGCTCCGACCTTTGTACACAATATTTCAAAACATTTTCAGTAGCCTTCTGAGGGTAGTCATTCGATGAGAATGAATAAATAAAGGGGTATTTGATGGAATTTTGATGCCTGAATTTTTGCTATTTTTGTTTTTCGTTGTTGCCGTGTACGACATTGAATCAATATTTTGTTTTGGTAGGGACATTGTAGAACTATCGTAGTTTTTTGTAAACAATTTGTAACGCGGATGAAAATATTGGAGAATTCCTGGAAAATGGTTTTTGAGAGATAAAATAAACGCATTGTTTTTCTACGTTTTACTTTCTATAAAATTGTGTCCCACACGGAGAAATATATATTTTCAGAAATTTATAAAATTGATTCATATGATGTATATTTTTCCATGGGGTCTAATAGATCCAATTGCATGGCCTCTATTATGGGGGGATTGCTCTGGGGGATTTGCTTTCTCTTCTCGGAGATCCACTAGGGATATTTGGATACCGGGGGGATTGATAGTGTAGCCCGAGGGATTTGCATTGTTACTATTATTGTTAAGAATGCATTTTGATGTGAAGTTGTGTTCACTAATTAGGGAGAAAGGTTTATTTATTTGACCAGGTTGAATTTGTATCCACATCGAGAGTGGGGTATTTGTTAGGTCTGTCATGAGCGCATGATTTTTTACATTATTTTTAATGGCTGACGATTTTTTATTTCAGCGTTTGGGATCATAGATTCATAATTTTTCCGTTTAATTTGTGAGTTCTCACATAATTTAGGTGAAGTTTTATAACAAAAATGCAGCTTTCTCCTCTCGGAGATACAATAGGGATATTGAGATACCGAGGGGGGGGGGGATTGATAGTACAGCCCGAGGGATTTACATTATTACTATTGCTGTCTACAATGCATTTTGATGTGGAGTTGTGCTCGCTAATTGGGGAGAACTGCTTATTCATTTGACCAGGTTGAATTTGTATTCACGTTGACAGTGGGGTAAAAATCATGAAGGAATCTAGCGCTTTACGTCGGTTTACGACACCAATTTGTGACGACATTATTGCCCTGATAGATAACGAGCTCATCCAGGAACGGTATTTTATTGTTCACGTTTACTTGATGGGCGATTTTCGTCTCAATTTTTTTCTAAAAAGATGGGTAGGGTAAACAGGTCAATTTCTGAACGGGGGTTAGTTTCTGGACGATTTCAACTTGCATTGAATATTCCATAAATAAACCGAAACTTGTACTGATTATTTTATCTTTCAATAATATTACTCAGCTATAAACATGTGATATATTATTTTTTCTATTGATCAACATTTAATAAATAAAAAAATATTGCCCAGTCGTCCAGCAATTAGGAGTTTCGGCTGCATTCAACTATTTCTTAATTCAATTATTCTTTGTTTTGTTATTTTCACTTCAAATGATTTTCTTCTGCTAATTAAAACATTCTTGAAGGTATACAAGTCATCATATCCCCATTTAGGTGATTCTTTTATTTTAGATCCTACCAGGAAACCCGAATTTCCCTTAACGGTCCAATAATTGGCCTATTAGAAATATTGATAATTGAGAGAGTTGTGATTTTTAAAAAATTTAGAGTTTTTAAAATGTTTTTTTTTCTTATTTCGAATTGGCCTCTATATCTCAGCGGGGTTTCGAACTATCGAATCGTCCTTTGGCGCACTCAAAGAACAACGAAAACCCTTAAAAATGAGACGTCATACATAGCGTTATCGTCAGATTGATGTGGTTTATACGAGAAAATGTTTTCTTTCCAATCATTAATTACACAAAAACCTATTTTTTTTTATTTGAAATTTTCACCAAAAATTGTCAATAAAATGACGCGAATTTTTGTGCCAATTAGAGTTTGTTTTTCGCCACTTTGTAGTTCGGAGGTTATCAAGTTTTTTAGCGAGACAAGTATTGAAAATAACTGAAAATCGCTATTATTCATGCAATTATCCCCTAAATGAGTGAATATTCAATTAAATATTAACAAATGGGGGAGGTTAGACTCATTGTATCTTCCATTATTCATCTATTTCCATTGTATAATTAGAGAAATAATAATTTTTCATTGAAAAAATCATACTGAAAATGAATAACAGTAGAATTCACATTGAAAGGAAAGAAAAAACACCAAGATCTTTGATGGAATTTCAATATCGAAATATGGTTCGGCACGACAGTCGTATGCAATACCAATTCAACAATATTTTATTCTGTGCTGCATCCATTCAAAAACTGTTCGTTTTTTACAGGATTTGTGTTGGAAAAATCGTGAATTTCGTCACAAAATTTTTAACAAATATTGGTTCACTCTCCGTTGCCACCGCGTCGTATCATGGATTGGTTTCATGAACATTCAGAATGGAATATAGATAGGCCGATGACGCTCATGTTAATTGCAGTAACGAACGTAATTAGAACGACCAACAATTAGCGGCATAAAATCACGAATTCGCATCTCGTTTGCTCTAACTGGAACGTTCTCAATAACTTTCAGCAGAGACCCTTTTAACGATATGCTTTCTCCTCGAAATATTCATTAAACAAAACTCGAATAAACCAGTTGAAACATTTTGAATAATCCGCGTATAATATCAGGTATTTTATTGTACCGTTTTGCAAATAAAAAAGTCAAATAAGGGGCATTCCACGCTACTTCAACGGGGGCAGAAAAATTTTTTTTGTTTGAAAATTGCATATATCACAGAAGGCGAACCAGAGATACTATTAACAGCCCAATTTTTTTTGTTAAAGTTATAACAATTGTATAATTCCAGTGAATAACGAATATACTAGTGATGCCGCGAGAGACTTCACGAGACATTGCGAGACAATACTTTGGAGGGATTGTCTCGGTCTCAGTGAATACAGTAATTTTTTATATCGCCTTGTCCCTTGTTTCACATAAAACGAAAATTTTTCGGTGGTAAAAGCCACATAGTACTGTACAATAACGAATTCGAAGTGCAAGAAATGAGATTCATTGCTTGCACCGAAAAAAAACAATTTTTTGGAATAACTAAATGCGACAAAATTTTTCCCTTAAGACTATTTTCAAATGTTCAGCATGAGACTTACTACTTTTGATAATTGTTAACTGCCGATTTTTCCGGTTCAAACAAGACTTGTTCAAGGACAGGTTTTTTCCCCTCATAGGATGGTTGGAAGAAGAAAAATGAAAAAGAAACATATTCACGTCAATTACGATAATAGAGAATGACCAGCAATTGTCGGAATAAAATCACAAATTCAGATCTCGTTTGACCCAACTACTTGATAAAATTCTCGTTGAATACCCCAGCCATCAACTGAATACCAGAGGAGAGGAAAATCGGTGTTATCTCGAGCGTAGCGGCACGGAACGTCGTGAATGACAGGGGATAAGGATGGAACAAAGGCCAAGCATAAGGAGCACGGCCACATCAACCCCTCCCACTGGCGCTATTTTTTTTTTACCCTTTTATCTCAATATTTTTTATTACCTGTCAATTCTACCTGCGCAGCAGTAAAACCAATTTTATTTTCCTGACCTTACCCATCCATTTTCAGTCTTTTATATATCCACGATAAATGCAACTTCCTCGGTCATTTCCGATTTCTCTCTCCCATCATAAAAACCAATGAAATTCAACTGAGATGGACAATCAACTACGGAAATTTCATTCATATGAATAATTGTTTATTTAATCGAAAAAAATGGGAGGCGAAATACGCGCTTTTACTCTAGTTCCCTCTTTTTTTAACCTCACGACCCGAAGGAAGGCAGTTATTGTAATGACCCCGAAAATCGATTGTGGAAATTTCATGATTTCCCCACGTTTCATGACCTCTAGAAACTCTCCCGTCACTTTTTAGAGACCGGTCTGTATATGTGTGTATGTGATCAAAATTTTGTGCTACAATTTCTCTCGAACAACCGATGCGATTCAGTTTTTTTTTTTCATGCAATCGATGTATTGTCATGTAACTTAGCACTGATTAGATTCTGAACAACATCACCTCGGCGGTTCTTGAGATTTTGCAATAAAACTTGTGAAAAAACGTCGAAAAATGACATTTTTTTACAAATTTGACGATTCTTCTTAGAGAAACGATGAGATTGGTTTCTTGTCATCTTGTTAAGAATTCACTGAATCCAACCGTTACCGTTAAGAATTCACTGAATCCAACTGCAATCTTCTTTGTTCTCACTCTCCGTCCCCAATCACCCATTTAATCAGATCGAAACCCATAGAAACGTAACCGTAAGAGAACAGATAGAAAAGTTATCGTCGAATCCATTGAGATTCGTCTGTTACCGTATTTTCCCAAGCGCGGATGAGAACTTGAGTTTCTCTAGCGAGAAAATCCGGTAGACCACGACACTGAATTTCTCGCTTTTTGTGAAGTAGTTTGAGAGTATTCAGAATCGATTTCGCTCTACCCACTATTTCAGAAACCATTTGTTCATACCCAGGAAGTGTCCCTTCATCCATAATCATGAATATGTGTCACATGTAAGCCTTTTCCCTCCTGAAATCTACTTGTTCGTCTTTCATGGCACCTCCGTCCCCCTCTCGTCCTGCTGGTGTTACTTCTGCACGTCCCGGCACCCCTGCGGCGCCAAAAGGATCGTTAGCACGAAATAATGTCAGCAAAGGATATCCCACACCGAGAAAGGTCAAGAGTCCACCAGAGGTCACGAGGCCTCGACTTGTTGTATGTGCACAGTTTATTTCATTTTGAATTTTTCATCCCACTTGGACACCACATTCTGTATAATCTTTTGAGTGTATGTGGTTCTGGCTCAAGGATAAACCAAAATTATGGTTCTTGTACCTGACGCGGGTGATGGTTTTTATGAGAAAAATTAAAAAACAAGAGTTAACAACGCTTTGATGGTTAAAAAAATAGTGGAATATTTAATGAAAGATGGAACTGTGGGGAAAGTTTAAATTAAAAATTAGTTCAATTTTTCGCGAACTTCATGATCATTGCAAGGGAGATAGGGGGCAGTGGGACAAAGTTGTACGTTTTGTCATGTACTGGAAATCTCAATATTTATTTTTATAAACAAAGATAGTAGAAACCAATGGATTGCAATTTTTTTTTGCAATTTTGGAATTTGCAGAATGATAATAAGAAGTCATAAGTTAACAATTTACGGGATTACCAAGCTCTTACAAATAAAGTACTTCACAGCAATTGATCGAGACACCCCCATTTCAGACAATATTACAGACTGAAAAGCAACTGTTTACCTCTCTTTAAAACTTTAAAACTATTATTTTCCGAGAAATCCTCAAAATCACCTCTGAGATTTCTGAAGTAATTTTTTTGTCCACATTCTTCCTCAATTCACTTGCATGATTAATTTTGAGATCAAATGAAAATTTTCTCTTTTCACTCATTAATATTATCATGTTCGTCAAATTGAAAAGGAATTAATAGGTGCCTCTGGATCATAGTAAAGCAGAGATTTTTTAAAAGTTAAGTTTCAAACCAATTGGTTACATAGCTAAACAGCAGAGATTATCATTTTCTAATGTTTTATAATTTTTTCATCATTACTTTCAGTAAAAATATTTTTTTAATTCCGAGTAAAAACAGAAATTTTAGTCATCTTGAAGATATCTTTATTGAATCACTACTATGGAATCAAACAAAGTGCGATGATGTTATCAACATTTTTCAATCACTATTTGTTACAAAAAGATGCCTGAGTGATAAGTAAAGCGGGAAAAATAACAAACGTCTCCGTAAGATTGGAAATAAATTGAGTAATGCCGGACAAAGCGAAAGGTAACCGTGATGGACACCGGGAGAAGGAGTTTTTTGTCGATGAAATATCATCGATTGGTATGTCATTGCGGCCAAGCGGTAGTGCATCTTCTGGTGAGTTTTTCTTCAATTTTCTCTCGAAATTTTTTTTCCGTTTATTTTCATCTCCCTGTTTTTTCCGTACGGAAGGACACGGTGAAATTCTATTGAAGCAAAATGTTACGATGAGAAAAATTGAGATGAAAAAAATATAGGAAATAGATAGTGAGTGCTCAGGACCTCGCTTTTGTTCGTCAACCGATAATCGATAGGCTATAAAAAATGAAAGAGATTGGCATGAAAAAACATGGAGCCTATATTCACTCTTATTCAGGTTTTAATAAAGCTGGGAAGTTATGAAAACATTTTAAATGCTGTGCAAACATTAGTCGCAGAGCACCTGCGAGAAGCATGAACGGACAAAAAAAACTTTGGAAGAGGTGAAAAACGCAGTACAACGGTGTGGGTTTCATCCTGTGGATACATCGTGGTTGTTCATTAAAAATAATGAGTAGAGCGTATGTGTAAATTAATGCTTTGAATTGCACTTGGAGGCCTCTTCCGCAGAAACTGCTTAGAATTATTTTAAAGTCATATTTAACATAGCACAATTTTTTCAACTCTCAAAATATTGGTATAGTTTTTCACGAGAGAAGTCACTGCATTGTGGAGTATCTCTCTATATTATAAAAATCCAAATCAACTGCTGGTGATGAAAATTTGGTGCTCGAAATTAAGACTGCAAAATTAAGGGTCACACGGGTTAAAATACCCGTCACCAGGGTCAGAGTAAGTGTCACGAGGGTCAAAATAATGGTCATGAGGGTCAGAATACGAGTCAGGAGAGTCAGAATATAGGTAATGAGGATCAGAATAAGGGTCATGGGGATCAAAAACTAAGGGTCAGAGAGTAAAGATCACCAGGGTGAAAATAAGGCTTACGAGGGTTGATATGAGGTTCAGATTAAGGATCCAAATAAGTGTTACAAGGATCATGAGGGTCAGAATAAGGGTCCCGAGGGTCAAAATGAGGGTCAGAATAAGGGTCATGGGAATAAAAAACTAAGGCTCAGAAAGTAAAGGTCACCAGGGTCAAAAAAAAGGTTACGAGGGCTGTTATGAGGATCAGATTAAGGATCCAAATAAAGGTCACAAGGGTCAGAATAAGGTTCATGAGGGTCAGAATAAAGATCACGAGGGTCAGAATAAGGGCCACGAGGGTCAGATTAAGCGTCATAAGGGTCAGAATATATTATACAAATCCAAATCGACTTCTGGTGATGAAAATGCAGTACTCGAAAGTAAGACTGCAGAATTAAGGGTTGAAATAAGGGTCACAAGGGTCAGAATAAGGGTCCAAATAAGGTTCATGGGGTTCATATGAGGCTATATGGATCATAAGAGGGTCATATGGGAGTTGGCGAGCGGAATGAGCAGGGGGCGTAGCCCCCCAGTATTCATAATAATGATGAGTATGAGAAAGCGAAAAAAATGTCTCGAACCGTCAAGAATCAGAGAACTCATTTTGTCGTTGGAAAAATATTACTTTCATTCATTTAAATAATTGCTCGCTGAATCATATTGGCAACGAGAAATCTTGTGTTATTCCGTCATTTATTTCTCTTTTCTTCATAAATTAAAATTCATTTATTCTACTTATCTTTTACAACTCGATCAAAATTCAATGATTGTACCATCAAATCTTCGACATGTTAATATCTTTTAAACAAGCAAAAATTCATTTTTCCAACGTTGAGAATTTTTTGAATTCGCCTCTAGTTTTCTTTATTCTTAATACTGCTCACTTTTCCACATTCGTCCACAATAACAAATATTTAAACCTGAAATGTTAGAATATTAAATGCGATATTAAAGTCATCCAACTCAACAAACAAACGAAATCGCCCAAAAAAACATGAAATAGGATTACAAATGTCCCGAATGTGAAAGGAGAAGAAAAAATATACCGACGAAACGTCTCAAATATATTTCATAAAGCCTCCAAAAATATTGGCACATGTACCTAAAATATTGAAGTACATTCCTCGTGGTTACAATAAACTCCGAAATGTGCGGTTTAGTCTCCAAAGAGCATTAAATTATATCCCGGCCTGAGTGGCCCGAAGTACACAACGATATCGCGTTGAAATCGACTGGATCGATAGTAGCCTTGAGCCAGGAAACACACTAACCAGTCATATATACACTTATCCGCTAGTTTCGAGCATGTACTCTTGTACTCTGCATTCCCCAAACCCTCGAGAAACAATGTAATAATCCCTTGTTTAAACCCAATGCGTAGTAATGAATCTCTGAATCCACGAAAATTGAAACCGTCCTAGTTATTGACTAAGACACTCCCGACGACTCTGATCATGTTTTCGATGGCCAGTGCATTCGTCAGAGACTCTCCCGGTTGTTTAAAATCACTCAAAGAGCTGAGAAAGCTTTTTCTCTCACTGACGCACACATTTGTTGTACTTTGATAGTCCTCCAAGGTCATAATAGCCTTCCGGAACTGATTGAACATCCCCAGGACGACACATTGTCTCATTTTTTCTTCGGATTTAGCAATCACATCGTCCTCTATGGCACAGAGCCAGAGTAAACTGTCCAGCCAACTTTCCATTCCATTTGGACGCTCGTTCGAGTAATTTATTCCATGATCCTTCAGCCATAGGGTCAACTGGAAATAAAGAAGTGAATGAGCACAAAAGAGTCGAGACCTTGAGAGATAAGGGGGAAAATTATGGGTTTATTCATGCTGACGTGTCTGCAACAGAGGAAGGACAATAGATTTTCCGAAACTTTCATCTTGATAAGATTTTTGCAGGGCATGAGGGAAAATATCTCTGAAACTAGTAGGTTTCAACTAGGATTGTATGAGCAGTTTTTTGACCGTGGATAATGATGTTTTGAGTTTTATATTACCCTTGCAATCGTGGAAATGAAATCAATCTACTTTAGATTTTCCGAAATTTTCGTCTTGACAAGACTTGTTTGCAGGGCATGAGGAAAAATATTTTTAAAACTAGTAGATTTCAACAAGGATTGTGTGAGAAGTTTATTGACCGTGGATAATGATGTTTTGAGTTTTATATTACTCTTGCAGTCATGGAAATGTAATCAATCTACTTTAGATTTTCCAAAATTGTCATCTTGATAAGACTTGCAGGGCATGGGGAAAAATATCTCTAAAACTAGTAGGTTTCAACAAGGATTGTATGAGAAGTTTATTGACCGTGGATAATGCCATTTTGATTTTTATATTACTCTTGCAGTCGTAAAAATGAAATCAATCTACTTGAAAATATTGATGGAATTTTGAGTCGCCATTTCGATACTACTATATACCAGTTTTATACTTACTATGTACGAGTTTTTGTCCTGGTCTCTTACCAGGACAAAAACTCGTTAAGATTTGTTATTCTGTAAGAAAAAGTTCACAATCTTCGTAACTTTCCAGATTAATAAATTTTAAGAAGTTTCCGCCGTGATTCACGAGCACAAGGGCAATATAAACCCTAATTTATGGGAGGAGAATGTCAGAAAACTTTCTGTACATTTTGTTCTGTAGTTTTTAACAAAAAAAAATATTTTGACCATTCTCTCTAAACCTCTCCTTTTCCAAGATATTCGTAATATAATTAGCACGTGAATTATCGACTTTACTCCCTTTATTTGAGTTTTGAAGTCATGCTCTGGCAAATATTGGCGAAACTAGTTGGTTTCGAAACAAGTCTGAAGACGCGAATGAGTTTTCAGCTTGATTTATGAGCATACGGTAAATATAAATGTAATCTATAACTAAAGCATGTTAGAAAAACTTTTTTTGTAGTTTTTGGAATTTTCTGTAAAAAATTATTTTTCTGTACTGCTTCTCACGATTTCTCGTCTGGGAATTGGTATTACATACTTCCCAAACTCGAAAACTTGAAAATCACTACAG